ATCGAACAGATATGCAAAAGATGTCGAATTAGAGGAACGGAAGGATACCTCCATGAGAGTGAGCAGGAGGCGTCTCGCGGCGTCGCGTACGGGCTGTTTGGCGTCTCCCAAGCGGTCGACGACGGCGGGAACAAGAGCATTGAAGTGAAGCTTAAAGTGGTCGCCGGCGAGAACGGCGGCTGATGCCAAGGCCTGAAGCGCGCCCTGAGAGACTCTGAAGCTACTGTCCTTCAAGAGATCCAAGCAACAATCGACGAGGGAAGTGACTTCACCGGAACTGAGACTCCTTCTAGAAGCTTCCAGAAGTTGGTGGAGGCGTTCGACGCCCGCCATCCTCTCCTTCGCATCCTTGGCGCGTGCGAGCTCAAGCGCTTCCTCCATTGCAGAGAGTTCGGATCTGGTGCGCGCGGGTGCAGATCTGGTTGAAGCTTTCCCAGATTCACCAGCGCATGGAGACCGTTGAGATAACTGCAGTGAGAAGTTGCGAAATGCAAATGCGAATGGAAATGCAACTGCGAATGCGAATGCGAAATTTAAGAGAAGGAGTGAAAGAGACGCTAAATTGAACGGAGAGAGGTTGCGGTTGGAGATAGAAAGCGAAAGAGAGAGTGGGGACTTGAATTGACGGAGGAGGAGACGATGGATGACGCAGAGATGAATGAAATGAAAATGATTTGAAAATGAAAACTAAACTATGCTTATGTGGTTGCGGTGGTTGCAAAATTAACCATTCGCCTCGTTCTAATTTACGATCCATACCACTGTTCTCGTGCTTTTATGATCCAACGACTACAGTCTTAGTTTAGTATTAAAAAATATATAACTTGTGCAAATTTGTAAATATAAAAATATTTTAGAATAATAAGTTTTATTGAATTTTATAATTATTAATGTATTTAATTGTGTTAAAATTTTAATTTTTAATAAAATATTATCATACATAATTTTTTATTATATATAGTGTTGTATCAGTTTTAAAAAATTTGTTAAAAATAATTTAATTGTTTAAAGTTAAATAATTAATAAAAAAATTAGTAAGATATTTTTATAATTTTACCATAGAAATGTGTTATTTTTAATAAAAATTGATTTTAAATGCTTAACTCAATTTTAAAATTTGAGATTAACAAAATAAAAAGCATGTAAATTATTCATGTAACAATTATTTATATAAAATTATGGGTTGATTATCATAAAATATATAAATATATAATTTCAGTATTTTTAATTTAATTACACTTTTAAAATTAATAATAAATTACATTACACGATATTTTTTATATTTATATTTTTTAAAATATTTATAAATATCCCTAAATACCTATAATTTTGTTGTCATTTGAATTGATATTAAATTTTATTTTATTTTCAGACTTTTTTATTCAATTTAACCCTTTAAATTTAATTTGATTTTGAGTTTAGCTTTTATTTTTTTCACTTCAATTTAACAATATTATTTTAATTTTTTTTCATTTTTTAATTTAGCTAAATTTTTTTAAATAATAGCATTTTTACAATATTTTTTCTTATTTTACATTTTATGTGCATCGTAGTAAAAATTCAAATTATTATTAAAAAAATTAATTAATGGCGCATTATTCAATTTTTTTCATCACTTGATCAATTTTAACTTATTATTTTTTTTATCAAATTTCATATATCTATTTTTTAGTTTTAATTATTTTTATTGTGAACTATCAAACTCCAAAACATTATCTAAATTAAATAAAATTAAAAGAAGAAGCAAATTTTAAATAAAAATATAGAAAATATATTTTAAATTATTAAATTGAATAAAAATAAAGATGATTAAATCAAAAATGTATTTAAACCTAAAAAAAAAATACAATTTAAACTAAATTACATTTTTTTGTCCCTTAATTATTGTATTTGTTTGATTTTAGTCTTTCAACTTTTAATTATAAATTTTTAAGCCTTCTATTTTTTAATTTAATAAATTTTATTATTTTATTAAGTTATCATCTAATTTTTAACCATAACTAAACACTCTTTTTCTTCCTTCTCTGTCTAAATTTGTCAGTACTGTACCCTCTCTCTACCCGATTGTTGTCATTAGCAACGTGAAGGTGTCTCTATTTTTGCGAGGCACCCTTTGATTTGCATAAGTGTTAGCTACTGATTTTGGAATATGTTAGGGTGCAACTCTCCTATGTTTTTTTTCTTTTTACATCTTATTCTGTAAAAAATATTTATATGATAAGAGATTAATAATTTATCTCCCAGACATATTAACATGTACACTCGCATTTTTTAATGATTGATTGTTTGGTTGTTGTATGTGTTCAGGATGCTTGCATCTATTAGGTTCGTCAATATTTCTATGCAGATTTATAGAGAAGAGAAAAAGAATATGAAAGAAATATTAGAATGACTTCTAAAGATGATTCAGAAACCTCAGCTATGTTTCAGCTTTCTATTTCTAGCTTGTTTCTTAGTGTGAGTATTATTTGCACCTTGGCCCAATCTCTCTTGTTTGCAGAATTGTTGAGGAGGAAGCAGAGAGAGGCCAAACATGGTGATTGTTGGCAACGGCAGAGGAAGAAGAGGAGTTCAGTCAGGAAACGGAAGAAGAAAAGCTCAGTTACCAATGGCAGAGTTCAGTAAGGAAAAACGAGGAGCACCGTCGGCAATGATAAATTCTGACCCAAGGGAGAGAATGAAGAAGAAGATTGTACAATTAGTTGGAGGACAACTGCACAAGAAATGATGAAAATTACTAAATTAAGAAAATATAAAGACTAAAATTATACAATTAAAAATTAAATTTAAATAAACACAAAAATTAGAATATCACCTATGAATTTAGCCTATAATATAATTAAGAACTATTTTCAGTGCATACTCGAGAGACACACAATAAAAATTTATATATAGTAATTTTTTATTAAAAATTACATAATATCACTTAATTTAATACATTAATAACATTAAATATTATAACTTTTGATTCTATTTATTAATTTATTATCATGTATCATTCCACACATTTTAAAAAAATTATTTAATCGAATGTGTAAGCAACTAATAAAATTGAAATTTTCGACAAAATACGCAAGTAATTAATAAAGTTTTAAAAACGTGCAAATTAGTCTAGTACAGCATTGACTATCCCATAAGTTTAAATTATCATAATTATTCATTAAATTGTTAAGACTTTTTTTTTTACTTATCTAATGTTATTTTAAAGTAAATATTTTCTCAATTTTAATTTTATAACGAATTAACCAATTCATCAAAATTAATAAAAAGTAATTAAGTGCCATAAATTTAGAATGTATTATAAAAACACATATAATAATAAATATTCAAATTATACTAAATAAATAAATACATTTACTTATTCAAATAATAAATAAGTGTTTTACCATAAATAATAGTATAAAAATTTAACAATTAGTGTATATAAAAAATTATTAATTTATTTTGAGTCATTGTTTGTTTTGAATTTTAATGCCAAATACTTTTAAAAAATAAGAGTTGACTAAATTAAATATTTTAATTATATAGACAATCAATGAAATGAGTCAACTAAAATGACAATTCTTGCAGAAATGGAAAATAATTTACCTAAATATTGAATTATCGTTGAGTGCTGACATTGTCCCTTTATGCTTCCTACGATTCTAATATAGGATCTGGATCGTCTTCAAGTTTCACACTTTACTATCCTTTCAACAACTCAGAAGTGTCTCGTGTTGTCTCAACTCCAACCACCCTCTCCCGGCGATGGCGATCGCGGGGGAGCTGAAAACGGCAAACCCCACATGTGAGTTTCTCTTCATCGACACACCCAATAGCATGGAAAGCGTTGCAATCTCCTCCGCAAGCTATAACTTCGTCTTTCCCACATGTGTCTGCTTTGTTTCGCTGCTAAGCTCAGAGCCATCAACATCGATCCACGAACCCAACGGATTCGCTAAAGCTAATTGATTGAGCGAAAATGAAAAATCAATAAAGTAATAATCAATGTCGAAATGAATTTTGATGTAGCCGGAAATTACTAAACGTGTTATCATCACATGAGTTACATGAATTACAATGAGATTTATACAACTTTTTATTCTCCACCGCTTACTCTCTTTGTTATTGCTCTTAAGTTGAACCTTTAATTTCTTACCGCTTAATGGGCAACCATTCATCATACAAATGGCAACCTGAGCAGCTTCTGGAGTATCATAACTAACAAACCTTGCTAACTGAAGCAAATAAGACACTGGCTCCACCAAAAATTTTAGCACTCAAAACTCTATTAAACGGTTGAAAACCAGTTGCAAGGTATTGGTCTCCATATTCTTGTGATATGTGGTAAATAAATAGATTTGCACTGGGTGGTCCTAAGTAGAGAAATTAAAATAATGAGCAGAATTTGAATTAATAAAAGTTAACATTTCCTTCTTTGAGAAAAAACAAATGGGAAAATTGTCTATTACATATTTACACTTATGCATCACTTTATGAATAAAATTAGAAGTTTAATTCTCGCTTAAACTAGAAAGAATTGAGATCTATATTATAACACTTGTGCTTGTCCATGGACAGCTTATAAAAATGTGCAAAATGGCTTTAAAAATATATTTCTACAAAATTAATTACAAAAAAAGTGTTTGTTGAGATTTTTAAGATCCTAGGTTAATTGTAGAATTATGTCCAAATACATTTCATAATGATTAATCTCATAAATTTACCATATATTTTAAAATTGGGTTATATCTAAATTTAAAATTTAAGGAGAGTAAAGTAAAAGGATAATATTTTAAATTTACAATCAACCAAAGCATAAACAATTGCTAGCTAACTCGTAGATTTTAAAATTAAATTACATTGAAACTTTCACCATTCCGTTGCAACTACATTATTACACACTAGAAGTGATGTTGCACTTGCATATGCATCACATATATATATACTACTATGACGCAACTTGGAGAAGCTTAACAAGGGTAATGGGAAAATATATATCCAACCACACACAATTATAAATGGTAACGAAGCTTTTGCCCTCTCTATTTGGGACTCACACTCATTAAAATGATATTAATAAAGGTTGGAATCAATGGCCATGATGGTGCTGAGGTTCATAGGAGTCATATAATCAGAAGTTCCACTAAAAATGTCCCGAACGATGAATCCCAAAGCACGTTCAGTTGGGTGATAAGCGTCCCAAAACGCATAGATATTACGGTTTGGGCATAGATTTGACAAAGTTGTGCATAGTCCCAACCCATTGAAACGACCTTGACCGCAACATGCAACCTTTGATGTAACAAAACCTGCTCCGGCAAACAATTAAAGAGAAGCATAGTAACATTATAATCAAAATCTCCTCAAATGAAACCCAAATAAGTAAATTAAGTAAATGTAGAGAGACCAAATCTTTCGGGGTTGGTGATGAAATTCATGTTCATTTGGAAGGCATTGACAGCAACAAAAACGTCTGAACCCACTTGGGAGTTGATTTCTCTAGTCATTTGGACCAGAAGTGGGTTGAAAATTTGTGCAGCCTGTTGCAACTGAGGCACACACTCTCCATTTCTACTCCTTGTAGCAAGTTGAGAAGGAACACAACCCATTGGGCCAGTTCCTGTCACAAGCACCCTTCTTGCTCCCAACTCATATAACCTCTGCATTGCCACTTAAATTGGTGAGCCCATATCAATATGAATATATACTATACATGAAAGAAATAGTTAAGACTTAAAAGAAAGGAAGCATATTCATTCACCCTTATTAGTAATTCTACATCTAAAAGCAGTTTTTTTTTTTTTTTTTTGCAATCATAAAAGAAGTATTTAATCGACATTTAAATAGTATCACTTTACTTAAAATTATTACACTTTAAACTCATTTTTAAAAAATCATGAATATCAAAAATCAAATTTACAAAAAATGTCCATGGATTACTTTCATATCCATGTTTCCTACTATTAATTATTAAATAGTAAGAATATGAACTCTGCCCCCACAGACTTATACACAAATTGTGATTTTAGACTAAAAATATGCGACGCATTTAATTATGAATTGATCATATAACTTATGAATTGGATGAGTTGATTTTGTAGATTAGCCGGTCAAATCATTGATCTCAAAAATTTTTGTGTTGATTGGGTTGGTTACGTGACCAACACCTCTATTCACGTCCAATCCACACTCCTTGGTGGAGTCAAAAATTTCATTACACTATGACAGTATTAAAAACTTTGAAATTTTTGGAGGCACATAGCCTTACATCAATGTAGGCCTATCCTTGAGATATTAAATGAAGTGGAAATGGTAGAGAAATTAACAAAAGAAGCAAGCATAGATGAAAGAGAGAAATTACCATGAGAATTTTTTGATACTCAGAGATAAGGTAACGAGAAAACTGAGGTACAGTGAATTGGCGAGACCTGACTGTTACAGGAGTCACAAAATAGTTGTTAACGAAGTCGTTGCCACCAAGCGTCATCAACACCAATGCCCCATTCACTATTCGCTTTGCTTGCGCTGCACCTACTTGTGCACTCAACCGTTGTTGGTACTGCTCGAACAACGCAAACTGCTGGAACATTCTTAAGATCGCCACCTGTGTGTTTTTTCTACCATGTTACTTCATTCATCCTTGTTTCAATTCAAATTTTAATATTTATGCCAATAGTTAATAGATAGAGAGGTTAATTTACAAATTGGATGCCCGTGTCATTAAGGATTCCTATCCCTGCCGAAGCGAAATTCGCCCCAACCAAGAGCTTTTGTCCCGTCAGCTCAGGGCTCAAGTATGGCAACGTTGGTTCAGACCCAATATGCTGGCCTACATAAAGATTAATAGAATTGTAATTATTAAGTAAGCATGTGTATGTAACGTACGTAAAGGTAACAATTTAAATATAAGAACATGATTGTATGAAAAAGAATTGATAATAATATGATTATGGGGAGTGAATATATTTGGTTATATACTGACTAATAAGGTCAGGGAGGTTAAAGCCATTGGAAAAGCGACCGGTGGGGCGATGGGTGGGATAGTCGATGCCGTAAGGGGGAGAGTCGGCACGTGCCGTGGTTGGCAAGTAATTGTTGTTGCCACTGTCAACGAGTGAGTCACCGAACACAAAGAAAGCACGAGCACCTTCTGCTCTTTTTGTGTTGAGTGTCAACACCACCAGGGTGAGGGTCATGAAGACCATTTTCATGCTTTGCATCATGATGATAAAGCCTATCTAATTAATTGGTTAATTGTTGTGGTGATGAACGTGTGTTTGAGGCTTTTTTGGGATGGATGGTGTTCTCATTGTGCATTCTGGGACTCGGGTGTGGGGGTCTTTATAAGGGTCTAATAATGCCCCTTTCCTACTTTTACTACTTTTGTCTTCACCCCACCAGAGAAGTGAAAAAGTTTGATGCTTTTTTCGGATAGTGGTGAAATTGTTAGAAAGAGTTTTGTCTGAATTGTGTTTTGATCCATGCATGTTGTTCACATATAGATATATCTTTGTTGTTATTTAAAAATGCAAGTGATAATGGATTTGTTAACTGACATGTTTGACTAAATTTGGGGATGCATAAGTTGTCAAATGTATGATATAAGATGTTATGAAAATATCGTTAAAAACCTTTAATTTTTTAATATTTTTTTACTAACAATGTTTGATGTGAAGATATAAACAAAAAGGACATATCAAATAAATTGATTAAACAGACAATAGTTTTTATCATTTAATGCATGTTTGTACCTTTATCCAATAATCGCATTTTAAAAATCTTATTTAAGAAGTTGACAAAAATTGTAAATTTTTAATATAAATTAATCAAATTCGTAATTTCAATGTAAATAATAAAAAAAAAACTGTACACTTTCTTTGAGAGCACGCCAAAATGTTTTCATAGTTTTCTAACAAAAATGAATGCTTAGAAACAATGAAAAAAAGCTACCTTATTCATATAATAAATTAATATAATAACTTATTATATCACTCATTTAGCTTATATTTCTCTTTCTTCTATTTTTATTGTCTTGTTAATTAATTATTGCTCTAAAGATCCTGTATAATCAGCACTTACCTTCTATTAACACGAGTTGTTGTAAAACTGTCTGAACTTGAAATTGAATCCTACCAAAGTTATTGTCTTTCCTTTGCATTATTATCTTTTATTTGTTTGATTAAAAGATGCAAAATTATTTGTCATTGATCTTGTTCGAAATTCTTCACATTTTGTTTAAATTTTGATTTATCAGAGTCGAACCAAACAGATATATTAAAAAATAGAAAACCCTTTAAAAAAAATTTTATTTACAAAACTCAAATTGCAGAAAATAATAAAGTGATTGCCACGTTGCTATTTGTTATGGGTTAAGACCTAGCTGACATGCAATAAAGATATGAAGTTATTGCATTGACAAATGAGGAACTCACTTACTGTTATGTAATCCATGGTACCCTAAAAGCAACCTAATTTCAATGCATTAGCAGTATCCTTTTTCGATTTTGATATTCTTATATTTTCCATTTGCTATCCTTCCTCAGTACTATTTGAGAATTTAATATAGAATAAGGAATAATATACAAGTCTACAAGGTAGTTGCTATTAAATTAGGAACTTTACAAAAATTCTTCTCATTTTTCTGGTTATATATAAAAAAAAATTGAGAATTTAATATAGAATAAACCAAAGTAGACAGAAGAAGTAATTATTACAGAAATTTAAGAGTGGAGTTGTTTTTTTTTAATGAATGATTTTGTAGCAATTGAAAACAATTTTAGCATTATTGAGGAAGACTTTTGTATCGTTTGTCGGTCTCCAATATAGCTGGCCCTAAGTCGGTTTGTAAAATTTAACTCAAGGGTGCGATACAGAGTATTTTGAGCACTAAAGCACTCCAAGTTCGGAACATTTTTTTATATATGGGTTTTTTTTAAAAAAAAATTCAAAAAATATGTAATTTTTTGTAAAATTACAGAAATATAATTTTTTTAAAAAATTGCCGATATACTTTTTAAATATTTAATTATTTTTTAAAAAGTCACCATTAACGATTTTTTATTTTTTAATATTTTTTTAAAAAATTGCCATTAACGACTTTTGAACTTTTATTATTGTTATATTTTTTTTATTTTTGAATAATTGTATTGCACCGATTTTTGAACTCTATATTTCCGTAATTTTGTAAAAAAACTTATATTTTTTGTATTTTAAAAAATAAAAACCATATAAAAAAAACCCAATTCAAAACATTTTTTTATATATGGGTTTTTAAAAAAAATTCAAAAAATGAGATTTTTTGTAAAATTACAGAAATATGGTTTTTTTAAAAAATTACCATTAGCGACTTTTGGCCAAAAATCACCATTAGCAACTTTTGATATATTTTTTAAATATTTAATTATTTTTTAAAAAATCACCATTAACGACTTTTAATTTTTTAATATTTTTTTAAAAATCGTGACTTTTGAACTTTTATCACTGTTATATATTTTTTTAATATTTGTATTGCACCAATTTTTGAACTTCATATTCCCGTAATTTTGCAAAAAAATCCATATTTTTTGTATTTTAAAAAATAAAAATCATATTAAAAAAAAAAGTACCCCTCCAAGTTCTAGAGGACAGCTTTTTTTTTTTTAATAATGCAAATTTCAACAAAATATTTTTAATTCACATTTAATAGAATTTTCTGAGTTCATAACTTAGAATTATATAAATATGGAAAATGTAATGTATATTAAAATTATACGCTCATACAAAAATATGTATATTTAATACAATAGTTGTTGAAGTCACATTCATTTTACAGCTACTATTGAATGAGCTATTTTTTTATAATTTAATTTAATTTATTTGATAGTATAAATTTTTTTATATTGATATTTAATAATAAATTATCATATTAATAAATTATTATTTTTCTAATAATTGATATAAAATCATATTAATAATATATTTTAATTAATTAAGCATGTATATTTTTTACATTAATAATAAATGAAAAATACAATTTTTTATTTAAGAAGTTTTATTAATTATTATAATTAAAGTGCTGGTTAAATATATATATATATATATATATATTTAAAATAATATTTTTAATAAAAAATCATTCTTAATTTCTTAACTTACTTTGAGGGCATTGTTACTGAACATTTATCTTAATTTAAAGTCAAATTATATTAAATTTGACATTATATATATATAATATAAAATAAGGCTTGATTAATCATTAATTTAAATCTAATTATATTTATTAAGTATTGAATGTTAAATAAATGACAAAATATATATTTATATTTTATGTAACTTTTCATTTTTTAAAAAAGGTAAATCCAATGACACCAATCTAATCCAATTGACTCACATCAATTATGACTAGTGAGTGATATTTGGAATTACCTACTTAAACTGCTCTTAAAAGCACGGGTAGCCTCTATAAACAGATATTTTCAGCTGAAACATCTGCACATCACTACATCGGCGTATGCTTCAAATGTGTTATTTATGGATCATGTTAAGCAGCATGGTTTAGCTTGAAAATATCGACTCGTAGATGTGTCATTGTCTTGTCTCTATTTTGTAAAAGTCTTGTTAACAATTTAATAAATAACTAAATTTGATTAAAAAAATATGATAATAATTGCACTCTTTTGCTTTTTAATAATAATTTCATTTAAAATTTCTTAAATATTATTTTTTGTAATTCGGGAATTAAAGGACGAGAGTATTTTTTTTATTGCGTTAATTAATGAAGGACAGCAGATTTTCTAGGCATTAAATATACACTTAACTAATAGAATAGTAGGGGAAGAATTGGAGTCCTTTATGGGATATTTATGATGAATATGCAATGGTTGATCACCGGCAACAACACAATCCGAACGACCATCGTTATGCAACTGCTTTTATTTATTGGGTCGGTAGAAAAAGCCATTTATGGAGATGATCATTCATGTGAATTGCTTAAATGGCTGTGCCTTTCGTCATCAAACAAGATATAATGTTAACAATACATCTTTTAACATATTTTTTATTAAAATTTATTAAAAATTCAAATAAATAAAATATTAATTTTTAAGTCAAAAATAGTAAAACCTACATATTTTTAATAAATTTTAGCCTATACAGTGTATTACAAAAAATATATTAAAAAGTGTACATTATTTCATAAAACAAATCCCTGAAGCTAAGCCGCTTAGGTAGATTACTCACATAAATCCCAAACCTTTTTCATAACAAAGCTCATTTTCCCTTCCTTTTTCTGTTGTTCATTGAAATTTGAATTGTTATATATATATGGACAGGCTCAACATTACTCTTTCGCTTCTACTAAGGAAATTTCCAATCTCTCAAGAAATTGTTGTGTGCCGTAATTTTCAAAATTCAAGTTTGAGTTGGACTAGCTACTAATTTATTCAAATTGAAGTATAAATAAGTTAAATTATTAATAAATTAATGTATTTAATATACATCTAAGGACATATGATAATATATATAATTATATTTAATAAAAATATAATATTTAGTATTTTGAATCCATTAAATTTTGTAAGTTTAATAAAAAAAAAACCCTTTTACTTTAAAAAATGACATTTTAAATGCTTTTTATTTTATTTTGTCAAGTACCTTATTTCTAATTTCAAGTATTTGATGAATGCTACTAAAAAATTATTTTTAAATTTTTAACAAAAAAACAAGTCATAAACTAGTTAAACAGTTTTAATTCAAGTTTTATAATTTTTAAAATAATAAGTTCAGATTTTAAATAAATAATTTAAATTTAATCAATTTTTTTCTTTACCGGTAAATTTTTAAAATATTTGATTTGGTTTGACCTTATTCTAAATTAAAGCCGTAACCTGAAATTTAAATAGTTATAAAATAAGAAATGACATATTTTTTTAAATGACAAATAATAATAATAATCCTTACGTGACTGAAAAAAAACATAAACAATTAGTGCAATAGTATAAAGTTCTATTGTACCTTAACCACATACTCTATATTAAAGTCTTAACAAAATTTTGCTAGAAACGTTTCTTTATCTTTTAGTATTGTGTATCTTAGCAATACCTTGTGAATTTTTATTGTAGATAAAGAAATATTAACATGTGTTTGTCATAGATAAGAAATTAATAACACTAACTTTTTATTAAATATTATAATATTTAATATTATAAATACACTTTATGATATTATATAATTTTTAATAAAAAAAACCTTCTCATATTTTTAATACATGTCTTAAAGGTTGATATCAAGTGAAATTCTTTTATAAAAAATATAAAATAAAATACCTTTATATTTTTTACGTAATAAATTATAAATATACTTTTTAAAAAAATTTATCGGCTTGAAAATTAACAAAAAATTATTGTGAATTATTTTAATCTTAAAGATGAGTTCAAATAATTAAAAATTTGTTATTTTATATTTTTAATATACTAAAAATTTATTTTAATAAATTTTTTTATTTTTATTACTTAAAATATCCTAAAAAATAATTTTAACAACCTAGAATAAGGGATCCGACATCATTCTTGCATGGACATGTACCCTGGCAAAGCCAGTTAATGACGGCGTTCAATATCTAAACCTCCTCGAATTAATAAAGGATGTCGGAGATTAACTAATATGAATTGATTAAGAAGTGTATGCAATGGTTGTTAATATATAATCATTTAGCTTGTAGAAAATGGTAATAATATGTTATAATGTTAATTTTTTTAAAATTTATTTGCACTTTTAATCTCCATAATTTAATTGATACGTGATTTTAGTTATTCTAACTTTCACTGATTGCATTTGGTCTTTTTATTCATTTCTTAATTATTTAAGTTTCTTGTATTAAATTTTTATTTAGTAATTAAAAATATTAAAAAAATATAATAAAGATGTAATATTTTTTATTTCTATAATTTGAAATACACATATATAAAATATCTAAATAAAAATAATAAATACATGTTTGAAATATAATAAAAATGTTTTTATTTAATTTTTAATAATTATATATATATTAATAACGTATTGCATTTTATTATATTTCTATTAATTATTATATATAATTTTGAAGTAAAATATCTAATATAAATAACTAAACATTTATATAATAAACAAATACATGCAATTGAAATTAGATGAACTAAAAATACAAATAAGTTAAATTATGATGACTAAAAATACAATCAACTCATCTTCTTTGAATACAATGAAAGGTGTAACTTTTTGTAAAATATTCCTGAAAAAGGAGTGGATATGTGTTAGTAAATCTCATACTTCAAACTATATTTCATATTAAAATAAATATGGATTTAAAATGTTTAAAAAGTATATTTTTTTGCTATTAATTGTTATTGATTTTATCCTTTAAAATAAAATTATGTTAAATCATTGATTAACTGAAAAGAAGAAAAAAGAAAAAAAAGAAAAGTAATGTGCAATGATATCCGAACGATCTTTGCGGCCAATCAATTGGCTTCTGACAAATGTCTTAGACATCTGAAGTAAATGTCTCTTCCATTTATATTAATCTTTATGAAAATTAACACTATTAGTATTTAAATTCGACATATGCTATTTTTCTTCTCTTGAGGGAAAAAGAATGCTGCTCTATCTTCATATTCAGATGCATTTCCTGTCATGTCCCTATTGTCTACCATGATGTGACGATTAATTTAACGCTTCTGACTATATCCAATTTTAATGTATATTTAGTATTAAATGCTATATTTTCAATCAAACATTTTTTAAAATTCTTTAACACGTGTGATTAGACATATATTAAAACAGCTAATACGATGATAAAGCTTAATTAAAGATAAACTTATAATATTGTAATTATTTTTTAAAAAAGTAATAAATTAACAACTTTTACCTATTTTTAATAAAAAAATTTGGAAGGGTGAATGAGGGTTGTAAAAGAAAGTACTGACACACTTTCCATAGAATTTCTTAAGCATGCGTACAAGAATATACAAGTAAAACCCCCAAAGTTGAAGTGTTGGACACATCAACCGTAGTGCAATAGTTCATTAAAATGTAAAAAACATAAGAAGAAAAATTAAAAACAACACAATCTCATTTTAACTTTTTACTCTCTCCCCTTCTCCTTTTTCGTATCTCTTTCTTCGTTTATTTATTTTAATCCATCAGAACAAGTTGAATGCACAGTGGTTTTATTGCATTTCATGAAAATAATATTAATAAGATGGAAAGGATTAGAAAAAACAAAGAAATGCCCATTTTCCACCGCTCCCACGGAGAAATGGTGAATTAAATGCATACTTAATTAAATTATGTATCCAACTGCACTTAAAATTTATCCAATATCTTATATTTAAAATTGTGTTTATACAAGTTTTACTTAAAAATATATCTCATATAGTTTTAAGCTTTAAATTGTTCTTCAAAATTTTCAATGTTATGAAGAATCTACGTGTACTGATGTTGAGAATAATTTTTCTCTAAACTTTTGATTAACGGGAATAAAAAAATTTAAAACAATTTATAACTAGAAATTATGATATTATTTTCTTCTGCCAAACGAATAAAGAGATAGGAAAAAATGACATTAGGTGCACCTGTTTATATGCCTAGTAACATGTGTACCTTAAATATATAAGACACAACGTCTTTGTCAAATAGGAGCTACTAGTAGACTCAACTATGTATTGAAAACTTTTAATATTACCTTTTTTAGAATATAAATCAATTAACTTTCTTTATAAGCGAATTTGTATAAAATTTATTAAATGAGTCATACAAGAAATTTGTATCTTATCAATAATTTTTTAACCTTATCAAATTGTTGCATTTCACGGGGTATGGTCCAAAATTCTGACATATATATATATATATTATACAAACTAATACTTAATTTATTTGTATATTTTTGAAATGTTCATAATAATAAATAGTCATACTTAATATCAATAAATAAATAGATTTATTTATATGAATAATATATCGGTATTTTATGAATAAAAATTTCTCAAAAAAATAATAATTTAATAACTAATATATTTTAAATTAAATTAATATTTTTTATAATTAAAAATATATTTATATATATATATATATATATATATATTAAATGTTGCCGTCCTAAATACCAAAACTGTTAAATAATAAGATAAAATACCATTAAATGTAAATAAAATATAAAGTAAATTTCTTTGACTTTGGAAAATTATTATTATAGTTTCTAACTTTAAACAATAAATAATGTTTGTAAACAACAATAAAATAATTAAATGAATTATTCTTTTAATTAAGTGTTGAAGTGAAAATTTAATAAAAATAATAATTAAAGTAAATAATATTCATAATATCATATAATAAAACGTGGGTACTCTACAATAAAAATATATGTTTAATATAAGTATTTAGATGATTATACATAGATACGAAGCGAGTTGAATTGTATGTTGTTGGAGTTTAGAAATTGTTAACGATGTTAATAAAAATCTCTTTCTAAATATTTAATTGTTAATATTTAAATTAAAATAATTATATGTCAACGGATGTTGATCCAAATCTGGGTAGGTCTATTTGATGTGATATTCCAGTTTATATGTTTAATAAGATTGATTATTGACGGAATCAACCAATGAACAGTTTTCTACCCAGTTCGTAGCTACATGATTCAGATAAAGGTCAATGAAATGAAAGTAAATAATTTTTTTAATTATTAATAAAAATTTATTAAAAAATATACAAGTCATTTTTAATTAAATACATTTTTATTGGTATTTTTATAATCTTAGATATCTTTTAAACGATAAATGAGAATATGTTAGTGAGTGATTCTATCACTTGAGATATAATTTGTAGGGACAAGAGACGGTGAAGGGATAGATTTGGATCTGATAATCACTTTCTAAATCCGAAAATTCATTGATATTGGTGAAATCAGCGCAGGGAAGGAAAGGAACCCTAACATGCGCCCAAATTGTTGCCACGTTTCCTTAGCTTTCATTCTGAAATTTCTGAATTTCCTTCAAGCTTTCGTTGGGGTTTCCATTTTGGTGTATTCGATATGGATGTTAAATCAATGGGAGCATCGCGTTCCTCGTCCACCTCTCCCTCACGCCTATGCTTTCTACTATTTCGATTCTGTCAACCTCCCCTCTCCTTGGTACTTTTCCTTTTTTCCCCACTGTTCAATTTTCTTTTCTTTTCTGTTCATTTTATTCCGATTGGTATTATTAATTAGCCAACTTGTTCTGATTTGGTTACTATCTAATGCATTACTATTAAATGCTATCAACTACTTTCACGCTGGGAGTGCCTTCTGATTCCTTTTTATTATTACGTGTTTTTGTTAACCTTAATATTAGGATTGAGTTTTAAGCATCTAAAAGTAGTAAATATTTATAGAAAAATAATAAATTCATTACATTAAATTTATAAAAGTGTGATAAATACTTTTTTTAATAAAATCTCACTGTTATTAATTGCTTAAACACAGTCCAGAGTATTGACAACCTAGGTTAACATTTTCCTATTATTATTATTATTATTATTATTAGGAGTTAGGACAGAACTCACTTATACTTTCTTAAGAATCTTTGGCTTTGTTTTTTTAATGAAAATTAAAATTTGACCTCAATGACCTGAATAATAAGGGTTGGAATGTTTGTGCAGATTATGAAGATGGAATTTTAATTTTGATCAGACAACATTAAAAATACTTAAACAAGCGCATTTAAGTTTTATCTTTTTTATTATTGCCTTTTTGTGAATTGGGAGAATCATACAAGTAGGACAAAACTGTTTTACTGAACCATAGAACTTGGCTGATTACTGTGACTCAATTTAATTATAATGACATTGTAATATCTTTGGTGAAATGAGGATTGGGATACTGAAAAATGAGATGGGGGTGTCAATATTAACTTATCTATATATGCTTCGTTAAGGATTTGTCTTGAGGTTTTGAGATGGTTATTCATTTGGTGTATAAATTATTATTCCCTGCTAATCCTGTTTTGCCCATTGATGACAGGTTCATCTACGCTTTCATGGGAGTAGGAATACTGGTGTGCTGCATAACTTTCTTGGGTTGCATTGCTGCTGAAATGATCAACAGTTGCTGCTTGTGTTTTGTATCCCTCTCAAAGTGGATATATTTTTTTTTTCATATCTTAGTTTGGCTGAAAATCTTTTTCATCTTTTGTTCTGAGAGCAAATTTTTGTTGAATGCTTTGAAGTAACTTTTTTTTATTTACTTTTGATTTTCTTTTTTGGAAAAATTACTTTTCGCTCCTTGACCTGTTAAAAATGGTAGTACACTCTACTTGTCACGATACTTCTGCTACTGGAGGCTGCTCTGGTGGGATTCATTGCAGTTGATCATCATTGGGAAGCGGTTCTTAATCTTCTTTCCTTCCTCTCTTTATTAACATAGTTGCACTAGCTCATATGTTTCCCTTTCTAATGCCTATAGTATGTCAATTATTGCTTTTACAGGATCTTCCAATTGATCCAACTGGTCAACTTGACAGCCTAAGATCTTTCATTGAAAATAATCTGGATATCTGTAGATGGGTTGGCATTGCTGTGCTTGTGGTTCAGGTACATTCATTTCGGTTAATGTTTTGGAGTTAGTATATGGCCTTTTTTTCCTTCACCTCTAATTGGTAAATGAATAAGTTATAGTCCATTGTTCAGACATGTTGATGTTGACGTGCTACATATATTATCTATCATCCTCTGAAGTGTTTTTTCCCCATCATTACTCATAAACTTTTGGAAATTTTTATCATTTTTTGCATGAGGAATAACTCATTTTTGTTCACAAGTCTTAGTAGTTAGTTAGCATAAGCAGAAATTCATGTGCCACCATTCACATATAGTTCATTAACTTGAATTGTATAAGGAGTTTGGACGTGTTTGTTGAATCAACTGACTCAAGGTTATCATTTACTCCATTCTCTGAAGTCATGGTTGTGGCACACTACAGAACGCCATCATGATATCAACTGGTTAATTTGGTTTCAGTAATTTTAATTTACAAAAAAATAATAAAAAATAGAAGTTGTTTTGAATCTGGTTTTAGATCTTGGGGTAAATTGTTTGTCATTAGTATTATGACCCATTTAATTGCTATATTGATAATTGGCTAGTTTATATGTTAATATCTTCTTCAAAGTCCAAACTATTACTTCTTACTTTGGTTGTGTTCTAAAGTTCTTATAGGTTGATTTTATGTTGTAACCCAAAGTGTCTTCTGAAATTCATGAATTGTGCATTTATTTTGAAGAAATAAGGTAATGAAGCTTCATTACCAAAAGATTGATATTTTAATTGAAATGTTTTTATAGTGCAATATTTTTTAGAGCAAAATAACCTAACTCAAACCTGATCTTTGAATTATTTTGGTACAAAAATGTTTGTTGTTATGACCCTTACAAAGATTAAGGTGCTAAAAAAATCTACCCCAACACCGTGCCTAGTATATTTCATGTCTTACATCTTATAAAGACACCACGAGATTGATTGCTTTGACCATTGGTTCTAAATTTTCAAGATTTTACTTGTATCATCATGTCATGACAATAGTATCAGTTAATCTAATGGACAATATAACAACTGTGCTGTATGAATGTAAAGCATTTTCTGGATTTCCTTTTATCCCATTCCTTGCATATTGTTATTGCTAATTTTTCTTGCTGCCAACCTCAGGCATTATCTTTACTACTGGCACTAATTTTGCGAGCCACAATTTCTACTCGGAGAGAAGATTTTGATTACGAGGATGAATATGATGCTAGGGGTAGAAGCTGGGAGCCCCTGCTGAATCCTCAATCTGGTCAACCATCTGGATCTAGCAAAGGTGATAACCGAGTAAATCATTCAGATATTTGGAGCTCACGGATGAGAGAGAAGGTATGTTGGTCTGAAGTCTAAAGTGTAGTTTCTTTGATAACCTTTAGTGGATTTTATGTCTTCTAAGGATAGGAAAAATAATTCGTGATTTTGTCATGTGTAAAGACTCGAGTTTGTCCAAGATTCAAGCTAGGGCTGAGCTTTTATTATATCAACTATGAACTACCAAAAAATTCAAACTGTTTTTTTGCCTCTGTACATATGATATTGTTGTCTGTTAATTAATTTCAGTTTTAGCATATAGTAATTTGGCTGTAGATTTTGGTTATATTTTCAAATATAGTTGAAAGCAGAAAGCTATTAGACTTGCTTATTGAATTAAAAGTGTTTGATAAAATTAACTGTTAAATGTAAAACGATGTAAAAGGTACACCTGTAGGTAACTATAATTTTACGTTTTTTGGTTAATTTTGAACACATTTTTTTAAAGGATAAAATATTTTGTTAAAAATTAAATCAATAATATAAGTACTGTAATAATTAAAATAAATAGTGTATCATTAAAATAAGAATCCACAAACTAGTTGAAGAAGTGGTAGGCTTTTCCTTTTCATGCTCACTCTGACTTCAAGAAACGGTGGTGGTGGTGACTGTTTGTGAAGGAGGATTGGAGAAAGGCAGGTATTGTGAAGGCAAGGATGAAGGTTTTTCTAAAATTAAGGCAGGGTATAAGATGATTCATATTAAAAATTGAGGATAAAAAAGGAAAAAATAAATGCTATTTTAAGTAGCATTTGAGCTAGCTTAAATATCATGTTAAAAACACACTTATTGTTTGTATCAATTTTTTTCTCTTTCACTTGGATGCAAAACTCTGGTGCGTCATAGTTATAGGCCTGCAGTCATTCCTACCTATCAAGAAAAATTAGGTTTTCGGTTTTATCTTGTCGTGGTGAACTATTCTTAATTACAATTTCCATAAAACAGAATGGATATGTAAATGTTTTACACAGATCACAGAAGTTTTTTACTTGTTATTTTGGCTAGGCTTTAAAAGTTTTAAGCCAAATATGTCAGACACACTAGCCGCATAATCCAAGGATTTCTTCATTTTAAGCATTTTTGGTCCAAGTATAACCTTACTGAGTTTATGGTTTTTCAACTTGTTTTTGAGACTTTCTCAAGTTCTTGTTTTTTTATCATCTGAGGAATGTAGTGTCTTCTCTTCTATGTATTTAATTTGATATATTGTCAAGTATGCTATTCATGTAAACAGACTATCATTTAGCATTTTATCATACTAGTGTCCTTTAACAATGGCAATTTAGGTATCGTTATTTTATGGTTGCAGTATGGATTGAACAATGGTGATAAGAGCAGCTACCAAGCATGAATTCAAGCAATGAGTGCTACTAGCTGTCAAGCAATTCAATGTTGTGTTGACATGAGTACATATGTATATCTTTTGCTTTAATGTTTTACTGTTTTTCATTTGTTTCTCTGGAAAATTTGTCGTCTATGCTATATAGTCAAGGTATGTATTTTAAACCAGTTATTGATATTTTGTGTCTAAATAGCATAGCAAAAGAGAAAAATGAAAAAAAAGGTGACAAAGGATTCGATCTCAGCATCTTCATGAATGCTAAATTGACAGTCTCTATAACAACAACGAAAAAGAAAGTTTAGTGGGGTGGAAAGCCATCGGTTGACATTGCAATATTGCTCGATGTCTCTGCAGAACATTGAGCACCTCGTAACATTTGAGAGAATTTTTGTTGGAAACCTTGATTGGTGGGTTAAGCGAAATATGAGAGAATTTAAACACACAGCTACACAGGTATGTGAGTATGTGGCTCTTCCGGTGAAGCCGAGTAGTTTGAAGTACCTTATCAAGGGGTAGGAGCTTTGCTGTATTTATGTAAAAATCTTCTTTATAAAATAGGCATTAAATAATAAAAATATATTTATTATCTTAAAAATGCAAAACATATTTAATACTTTATTCATTTAGTAATTGATTTTTTATTTATTTATAGAACATTACACATGATAAGAAAATAATTAATAGTAAGTTCTTTAATTGAAAATTATAATATTTATTAGTATTAATGTATTGAATACTGTAAATTTTTATATCATAAATTTTTATTGTGTAATATTGCATAGGTTAAAAAATGTGCTTAATAATTAAGAGAATTTGCAGGCATAAAAGGTAAGAGGATTTATAATTATTTCAAGTGGTAGTTACATGTTTCTTCACAATGAAAAACCGAAAAACAGGTCAAAATATTTTAACCTTTTATGTCTACAATTTTTTTAATTAATAAATGAAAATATTAAATATTTTTATATATTATAAAATAATAATTGTAGATATTTTTATTTAATACTTATTTTATATTACCTTCGATCATATTTATACCACTAAAAAGTAGTTATATTTTATAAATTTATTCTATATTCTATAAATATTCCTAATATTGAATAACTAAATTGATGACTAATATATGAAATGAAAAAAATATGTCTACTTTTATGGATAACGGGTAAGTGTCTTTTTAATATAAATTTTATCATAAGTTAGAATATAAAAAGAATTTAGCAATTGACAAAAATAAGTCTGTATTTCTTATAATTAGGAAAACAAATATTGGTATAGTTCTTATAATGATATTTTTAATTTGCACAAAATTACATGCGGTAATAAATTAACGAATAATAAGTTTTTATTAGAATTTGTATTATTTATTAGTATTAATGTATTAAATTATATATTTTTTAATAAAATTTATTACATATAAGTTTTTATGTGAAATTTTATACAAATTAGAAAATGTGTTAAACAACGAAGGTAGTAAAATAAAAGAATTATTAGAAAAATATGTAATTCTAATTTTCAGGAGAATTACTACAGCAAAGCTCTTAAATTAAAATTTTATTATATTTATTTAATATTATATATTTATTATTATTTTTAAACGTTTAAGCTTGTTAGCTTACAAAATTGTAAGTCTACTTCTTATTTATATATAATGTTATTTAATAGTCATTTTACAATAAAATATGCTTTTCAATAAGCTTTTGGGTCAAGTTAAACATTTTAAAAAGCCTGTGTCATATAAACAAGTTAAGTTCGGGCCTTCAATTTTTTCAAAGTGAATCAAATTTAAGTCTTATAAAGCCTAGTTTAATTCAGTCCATTTTCACATTAATATGAAATTATTTGTATGATCATTTTGGACTTACGCAATACTATATTAGTCATTGGATTTGTTTGAGATTGCATCTTGTATTTTTTTAAGGGCATGCTTGAGAATTGAGTTTGGTAAGAAAAGAGAAAAAGAGGATATATTTTTTGGACAAATATTCTCTAATTTTATGATTTTTACAAATAAAGGAGACAATATAGTATATTAGCGTAAATTTGAAGTATTGATATTTTATTTATTTTTACAAATATATACTACCTTTGGTCCTAAATATAAGACCATTTAGAAAGTTTGCTATTATTCTTTTATAAGACTCCTCACAAGTTGTTAATTGAATTAATCTTTTTACGAAAATATTCATAGATAAAATAAAGTAACTAATTAGGTATAGAAAGAGTTTATTGTGGGTTTCAATAATTTTAAGGATATATATATATATATATATATATATATATATTCAAATTGTTGATAAATTTTATACTACTAATGGAATTAACTACTTTTTTTAAAAGTCTTGTGAGTATATAACATTGTCTTATATTAGTATAACTCTCTTAATTTAAAAATAAAATATGTAGTGTCTACTTCTTCATCATCAAAATTTAACTCTCAAAAGGTACTTGAATTGACCACGGCCAAACTGCATTTTTTTTAATGAAAGGAAGAATAAACAAAGGCAAAAGCTTCTTCTCTCCACAGCACGTTTCACACTTCAAAACACTCTCCTACATTTCTTTGTTTGATAGAAAATAAATGACAAATCATGATAAATTTTGTCTATCACAAGGATCTCAAGGGGCCATGTGTCAATGATCTTAGTTATTTTGAAACTTTTGTCTTAAGGAACATGCCACACCGTGTTGTCACGGGATTTTCAGTTGCACTTCAATTTATCTTAAAAAAAGTTGTAGATAACTAAATACTATGAGCTTGGCTTTTAGTTTAGTTAGAAATTTCACATCGAATCGTCAGTGGGGAATATTCTCACCCTTTTGTCTACTTTAAAAAAAATGTTTGTCTTCTTCTTCTTCAGCGTTCAGTGCACAGGCTGCATGGACTACTACCTCTCATCATCTCATGTCAGGGAGGATCATGTGTGTTACAATATATATTTTTTATTTACTTTTCTTTCATTATGTTCCACGAGTTAGTTACATAGACAAATAGTACAACTACAAGTTGACCACCACATATATTTTTTATTATTTACATTACTTTAGCTAGTTATATCATATAACTATTCCCTCTATTATGTTTTATTGTTTAAGGTTTTTGTTTGTATAGATTAATGGACAAAAATTTCCTTATTTATATATTCCTTATTTATATCTTCAATAATTTTATTTATTCTTCTCTAACTTTCCACAATCAAATAAGGATATAAATGGACAAAAATAATTAAATAAGTCTTGAAAATTTAACAAAAGAACTTTTAAGACAAAACTAAGACGTTAAAACAACAAATATGTAATGAATAGAGAAAGTATTTGTCAAGGGTTTATTTTTTTTTTATGGATTTATGGCTGATTTTCTAATTATTTTATCACATAAAAAAATTTCGAAAAACCCTTTTTTTTTAATAAAAACTTTGGTCTATATTATGCAACTCTCAGATAATTCCTTTTTCCAGCCCCAAAAAGAAAAAAAATCTAAAATATATATGACGAATAAATTTGTGGCAGCATCTAAAACGTTTATTTCTTGGACCACAAACTTATCTTAGTCGACACTCCATGTGTGGTAGGAGAATCTCGTGTTGAAATCTAGCTGGAAAAAAAAAGGACTCAAACATGTATCATAGTGAGTAAAAGTAGTTAAACTAGTTATCTCCCATCCCAAAAAGGATTGCATGAATTGATTTAGAAGAAGGGAAATAAAAAATGGTCTGATAAATGAGTTGGTTTGCAGTTTGATATGAGAGTGGTGAACATGATATTATTTGGTTATGGAGCAGCCATCATCAATTTGGCCTTGCCTTGTGTTATCCCTATATTGTGACATGTGATTCCAATTAATCCACACTTTATTATGAATTGAACGGTGGTTTAATGAGAGCCGTAGCAACATGTTGCAAGAGGGTGACAGATTGTGATTCCAGTGGGTGCATGAATGATATGAATCCTTTATACCAACTGTATCGATTGTGTTGTTAGAGAACCACAGTTATGACTAAATTAGTACTAACACAGACAGATTGTGACTTATGATATAATGATCAATATCATGGTCTGTTGCACACCACTATTAGCAGAAAGCCAGAAACTATTTTGAACTGCTGCATTAATTAGTTTCATGTCCTCGTATAATTAGTGCAATTATTTGTATTCTTATGTTTCAACATTGTCATAGCTAATTGTTTATAGGATTTTGCTCTTTAAACAAGTGTGATGATTAAGGAATTAAAAAATATATATTTTTTATAAAAATCACATTCAAAATTATGATAAAGATGAATTAATAATATATTTTAATAAAAAGTTTTATTTTTGACTTCTTCTTGAGTATTTAAGAATAACGGTTATCGATTATCATATGTTTTATTTAGGTTATTATAAATCGTATTTGTATAAAAAAGTGTTAAGAACTTATTAGTTAAAATTTATTAAAATTATAAAAATGTAAATGATAATTATTAAATTAAAAATAAGATCAGCATGATTTTTTATAATTTTTAATATTAAAGAGTGTGTTAAAATGTTTATTATTATTCTTTCTCTTTATATAATTTTTTTTAAAATGTGTCAAAAATGCATAATAAAATAAATAGTAATTTTTTTATTAAAAATTTTAGCATTTAAAGTTATTAATACATTTGATCTTGTAATTTTTAATAAAAAATTATTATATATTTTTATTATTTCTTATCAAAAACTTGTTCGGAGGACAATTGTACCCATCGAGAAGTAATATAGGGTTCTTAAATTAAGTTCCCGAAATATTGTCTCACAAAGATTGATTTTCAATTCCTAAGAAATTCTTAATTCAATCGTTTAAACTTCAAAAATACGAGATTAATTAAAAATAAGAATTTATAAAATTAATTATAAAACTAAGAGTAAGGAATACAATGCACGTCTTAGTCAAACTTATTGGAGAGGAACTTAGAGTATATAAGTTTTCTCATTTAATCCTTTATGTTATTTTTCTATTTCACTTTAAATTCGATTTCCTTGTGATTACCAATCATTCATACAAATACTATTAATACCTAATGGTCATGCAAGATATTAATTTAAGAAAACTTAAGGAGCCTACGAACTTGTTAATATAATAATGATTAGAAGAGAAAGATTAGTTTGGTCCACCTAATCCTTTATCTTGTTTTACCCTATAGATTTATTAATTAATCGAGGTACGATCGTCTGACAATATAATTAATTAGGATTAAGAAAAAAGAGTAATAGGATAAAATCTAATCGCAAAACGGAAATTAAATTTAGAGTCAAATATCAAAATTTCATAAATTCATAACAATAGTTCTCATAGCCCTAACTATGGACTTAGTTACTCATGTTGAAAGAAAGAATTAAAACAATCATAAACAAAGCCATAATCAAAAGAAATATTAAACTAGAGTATGGGATGTATTCCCGGTCTTCAAGTATGATTGCTTGAAGCTTCAAGTCTCGCCAAGCATATGCCAAGGATTTTGTGCAAGAGAGACGAGATCATATGTATTCTAGAGCTAAAGCCAAGATGTAGAAACGATGTTCTCTATGATGCCTGAAATCTCTCTTTTAATAGGATTTGAAAACTCTAAAGACTCTTGATAATTGAGCTTCTCACAGATGAGTACGGCCGTGTAAGGCTTTAAGCATGATTGTGCATGAGTTCGAAGCACCTCCGTGCTTGTTGAAAGGGTCTAGGCGTGCTGATTGTTGTGAAACTCTAATCTTCCATTAATTTGGGCCCAAAATGAACCCAACATCCATTTGCGGCCTCTTTATACCAAACTGCACAATTAATATATAAATTAGTGTAAAATCCAAATAAAATAAAGGTCAAATATGAATATATGAGCTGTAAAATAAGGCTTAATTACAGACTTATCAGGCATGCACTAAAAAATTGTCATATAAATTTAAAGATATTCCTTTAATTTTTTAAAATAAGAAACAATTACTCATATTTTTTGTCCTAATTATAAAAATAAAAAATAAATTTTAAATACATTACTTACTAATTTTTTTATATTTTTATTTATTATAAAATTTGTATTATATTTGATTTAATATATAAGTAACTAATTTAACTATTTAATATTAAAGTAATTTTAAAGGATTTGGTTCCTCTAAAAGAAGGAGAAATGTAGTGTGAAAACATAAATATTTATCTACCTTTAATTTAAAATTTAATTATATAATAAATGATTAAATTTAAATTAATAATAAATACATGTTTACCTTTTTATTTTAGCAATATCTTTACTTAGAGAAGTGATATTTATTTTTGAAATATTTTCTTATCTCCTTTTAACAAAGGTTGTTGAAAGTAATAGATGGATTGATTTTTTTAAAAACTAATTACAACATTTCAAGCTTACTCCTAGTTAAGGTAAAAACTCTATTATTATATTAACTGTTAATAAATTAGAAAGATTTAATAATGGAAGATAAATATCTAAAAAATTAATAAATGTTCCTAAATTTTATAAAGAGTTATACTAAAGACCAATAAAATTCTCTAAAATATTTTTATAAAAAAGATTGGAATTAGTCCAATATAAATTTATAATATATAATTATTTTTTATAGTTTTAATAAATAATTTTTTTATTTTTTTATAAAAATTAGAAAAATAATTAATGTCAACATACTACAATTGTTTTTATAACATATAATAAATCTTTATATTCTTTATTTCAATCATTATTTATACACATTACAGAGTCTTTATAGTCAAATAACTACTATTTTTTTTTTTTTGGTAGTAGCATTTAATAAATTAGGTGAGTAGGAGGACCATGTGGATGATCAAATGCAACAAACAATAGAGTTACAATATTTATTTAATTTAAAATCAAAAGCAGTAATTCTCAAGAGGGATTCAGGCCCTGCCTGTAAAATCAATCACAGCATTCTCCACAAGCTCTTGTATCAACTCTCCCTCTATTTCCTTTCCCAAAATATCAATCTCCAATTCTATAAGCTCAAGCCACCCTATTTGGACAACCTCTTCTCTGACAACATTTTCTACCACCAGGCTGTTACTGCCCCCACCATCCTCCCATTCACATCTCATCCCACTTGCTATTAATTTCTTCATTTGGGCCACAATGTGGTCCACCAATAAGGGTGATACACCCTTTTGGACTCTGTGGCTCCCACTGTACATCCTCCTCTTAAAGCTACTCTCTGATCCATAACCAATAATTTCCAATAGTGCAGCATTCACACAGTCAAACACAAGCTTCTGATTTGATCTCATCTTCCTTCTTCTGCCCTCATGCAAAGGTTGAGGCTCCTTGTCATTTAAATTGGCATAAGTGTCCCTCAATGATGGGTCTAATGGTCTTTCAAGAGAATACCACGTTGTATGAAACGAGTCATATTGTTGTTGATCATCAAGTCCACTTGCTGATAGTAGTTTGTGGACCAAGAGAAGCCACTCTTGTTCCTCTACCTTTGAGTCTAAGGAAGAAACCATCGGGGGTTTTAATGGATACGGGCTTGCTAATTCTGCACAAGAATCATCCCATGAAAGGGTCCTTGATATTGATTCTATAGGTGGTGATTTGTCAATTAAATTGGACTTCAGAGGCAGCGGTGATCCTATAGACATAGAATAAAAGGCACATAGTTAATATTAAAACAAGAGTCTTGTTAATCAGTACCCTGATTAAAGATTCAATTAATAGAAAGTTTTTATTATAAATCACGTTGGAGGTGCATTGAAAAGTTATGGAAAAACGTATTGTCACACTGGTTAGCATTTTTTTTATAAAGTAATAAAAATTAAGATAAGGTCTATATACCAAATAAGAAATTCTTGAAATAGTAAGACATTGATAAAGAGAGGAAATGCCTAAGCATTATTACCCAGGTGTCCACCCTTCATAGAGTCCAAGGACTCATGAGAAGCATTATTATAATCTTCAAATGGAGGTTGTAATACTGAGATTGGACTAGGCTGATTTTCGCTTGAAATCTCTGGCACCATTGGCTTTGGCATAGTCAATTCAGGCTGTGAAAACAAACAAAAGAACGATTTTATTTATAGATGGTCCTAGAATATATGCATTCAATTAATCACTCAATAATCTGTTATAACAGGAAATCGAAGAGATTTTGGTATTGGCTGACAAAGGAAGTTACTTCAATTAATAATAAACAAGTACCGAAGCATGTTAATCACAACATTTTCGGTTTTCCAGTTTCATTTAGACATTCCAACCAATAAATCCCAACAATTTGCGAGGAAAATAGACTTCCGTACAAAGAACTTGCCACCATACTCATCCAATTCCCTTATCGTGCAATACGCAGCCTAGTGCCTAAAACTCATAAAAACATCTATGCAACATGAATACTTTCAAGCGTATAATAATTCCTTTAGTTAGGAACAGAAGGCACAAATATTCCTGCGGCTCATCATAATAATGAAGGAATGCCCAATGTATCTTATAGTAATTAAGACATAGGAATACAAAATATCTTATAGTAGTAATTAAGGACTACTTTTTTGGTGTTATCCAACAAGACCATACTAAAGGTTAAATAACAGTTAGCTTTAATATCCACTAACATGTGAAGTTCACAAAAAGCTATGAATACTAATACTATATTTCCAATATGCTTTCTGTTTGTTTTCCTTTCTGTTCTCTTTTCACTCCAATCTGTTCTCTTAAAAATTTGCAAACATATCCTAAATATTCATCAGCAAAAAGAAAGAAAATTTTCATGGAGAAATAAAAAAAATTAATATAATGGAATTTGCAGAATAATAGTGGCTGTTACCTCAAGTGTAATTATGCCTTGCTCTTGTCTGTTGGAGACTGAATCTGTTATAGTTTTCCCTGATGATTCATATAGTGCTGCAAGAGAACACTCTTCAAAACCATCAACACTGAAGCTTTGAGACATATCATCCCTAAGGATTCCATGTGAATGTGCTTCAAGAACTGATGTTTCAGTGACAGTAGATTGGGATTCATCTTTAGATTGAGATGGACTAGATTTTTCCTTGGTTGATTTCTTACTCCTTGAGAACAAGAAACTGGCAACTTTCCCTTTAAATGATGATTTCAAACTCTTTGACTTTGTATGAACCTTTGAGCCATGTGCTTTGCCAGCATCCTGATCATTTTCATAGACAGTAGAAGATGCAGGCACAGAATTTGACCTGGGAAGATTCTTAGGAGAACCATCAATTCTTATTTGTTCATTGAAAGAATGAGTGCAAGAAACAGATTTGCCAGGTTCGTGGTCTTCATTAGTACTCTCAAATGCAGATGTTACAGATTTCTTTATATGGGAAAGAGAAAGCATCTCACCCAAGGTAGAGTTTCTCCTTATATGCCTTTGTTCTTGATGACCCTTATTATCTGATGTCATCATGGTCCATCTTTCAGAAAGCCTTTTCTTTGCCTCTCTGCACACTGATGACTCAGGAGAGCACGATGCACGACCCAACGACATTGTAGAATAAGGACTACCACAGCCATTGGTGTAATCCCATGAAAGCCTCGGCAATGGTGACATAGCTTGCAAATCACCAAAATTCCCAAATGTATACTCATGATATGATTTGTTAAATGAACTCTCATCATCAGAATAGCCATTGGAAAACACTGAAGAATATGAAGTTTTATCCTTTTGGTAGCTCCTCAGGCCTTCATGCTTTGGCTGTGTGACCTCTTTTGCCACTTTTGCGGATTCTAGTGCATCATCATATTCAGGTCCCTGATAGAAATTTCCACTTTTCAGATTTAGTGGTGATGAATTTATTGGAGAAATCACAGCCTTTTGCTCATGTGTCCTCCCAGGGCTAGGCTTCAGTAACACTATTCGAGTAGTTTGAACTGGAAACTCATCAACTTTCTGACTTTCTGGAGAGTTCATAGGATTCTTGTTCTTCAATACAGCTGTTTGATTAACATTTTCTGGATTTTTAATCAGTCTATTCTTCTTCTTCTTCTTCTTCTTCTTCTTCTTCTTCTTCTCCTTTCTAGCAGATTTGTCATTGTCAACCATCTTGGAAGGTTTAATCAGAGTAATGTGCCTTGTCTCAGCTGGTGGAGTAGAGTAAACTTCATAAAGATTTTGAGAATCCAATAACCTGATTAAGAGATCAGTATTGGAGCTTAAAACTTCCAAGGCATCTTCAAATTGTTTGGAGTGGCGCAATCTCTCATCTGTAGACAAATGCTTTGCTTCCATGAATTTCTGACGAATGAAAGCCATTTTTTCCCCATCAACATCTGCACTCCACCTTCTTCTATCTGGTAACTTGCCTCTTAAATGGTTTGTTGGAGATTGCTGCCACTGTTCATAGATATCATTGTAAGCAACTTGTTCTGTGCTTGGATGAACTTCATGAAGAATTTCCTTATCCATACACCTATCTTCAAGCTGCCCATGATGGAATGGTAACCCTATAGGACCATACATATGTTGAGAATAATCTTTTCTATGGCTTCTCTCCACAGATAGATTAGGCTCTCTCCTTGGAAGGGTTTCAAGCCCCATTAGTTTTGCAACTACATTTGGTAGGTTGTGCTTGGGGTCTTTTTGTTTGGACATTTCTTTGTCTATGAGCATGTGCATCTTGATGGGTACTCCATTTATTTTTCTGGCTTATCCTCTATCTCATAACTAGCTTCTGATTGACTTGTTGAAAGTGATGAAGCTGCAAGACAAATAAGTACAACTTCTAATGATAAATGGGAATAATATAATAGCATAGAAACACTTCAGCCGCAGAAATCTAAAATACAACTATTCGAAACAACATGGAAATAAACAAAAACTAATGACAATTTAAAGAACCCTCCATACAGATCACCAAGAAAGAGAGAGAGATAATTGCATATTAGAAAACAAAAGGCTTGGCAAGGTGAAGAGATGTGGGCTTCTTGTCCTACCTCTTGCTCTGTCTCTGCTTTTGCATAGTTTTGTAGTACGTCTTCCACCCACTCTCTTTGTAAAACACTTTCATCGAACTATTGATTTATCTCCTTTCTTACAAATAAATTCCCAACTTGTTTTCAATGGAATTTGGGTCACATGTTCAATTGCGCAAGTTTGATAACAAAATTACTAAGTGAAACAAAGCAGACAAGTTGTTACACTTCTATAGGCAACCTTCGCAATCCCAGTGTAATAAAAAAATTCATTCGTCCAAATCTTGGCCAAATAATATTGGTAAGGAAAGACAATATAAGCATTGAATGAGCCATTACTTGATATATAGAATAAAACAAATACTAGAAATAATCTTACATTTTTGGATCAATCTTACAAGGTCAGTTACTTGACGTAATAGCAGGGAATTTTTGAGATTTTGTCTTCCTATTTTTAAAAAGAGTGATTACAGAATAAATAGTATCATATGAAAAGGAAATCCCTTTAAAGGACTGAAAAATTAAGAAGAAAGGCATATAAACAATAAAACTGGAAAAAAAAAAAAGAAGCAAAATCGGTTGAGGTCCAAAGATTTTCTGCATTCTGTTAGGTTGACTTCATATTAATTATTTGTTTGATCTCACCTTTAATGCGACAGAGGGTACACGACTTTGGAATTTATAGGAGACTGAAAACAAAAATTTTATCGTAGGGTAGCCTTTAATCTTGGGAAGAAAATTCCGAATGGGTCAGATATCGTTTTCTATTTATGAGTGACGTACAAGTTTCACATGCAACTGAAAATGACCCTTTAAATAGAAGAGCAAACCAAAAGCTAAATCAAAATCTCACTTATAATGCGTACTTTGTGGAAAATTAGAGAAGCAAACAATGGTAATATCTACCATTTTCGTGTGCACCATACCCCTCGCCTTGGGGCGCGCGGTGATCCATACGTGGAGGCATGCTTTCCAACACCACCGAAGAGTAGTACAGAAGAAGAGCCTAATCAAATTGAAATATTGAGTAGCATGAAGATCACTCCAAAGGGTCAAAGAGAAAGAAGTTGGAGATAATTTTGAATTCAAGTTTGTGGTTTGCTTAACGTAAGGATTTTATACAAATTGTTACTGAATGTAACCCTTTTGATAAAGGACAGCGGGAAAATCCGTTATAAAGGAAAGATAGACAAAGCCGTAACACCATTCTTTATCTTCAATATATGCCTTCCTGAACTTCAATTTATGATGATTAGCATTACTCTCACATTGGGTATACCAAAAAGCAAAAAGTCACTAATTTTTTTTCTGGTGAATCACGGGAATTTTTTTTTTTTAGATAATATGTTAAAATTTAACCCAGAGAATTAGATACCTGTGCAAACATTATTTTTCAAGTAAACTTCTACACATATTCCTGTTAATGCTCCGAATTACGAATCTAAAGGAGAAATATAATTTTTCACTGAAAAGGGTTTAGTTGATGGACAGGTCATCTTGTAAACACACGGCATATTAATCCGAAATTAACCAGAAACACATACACTGTTTGATCAAACACCCCAAAGAGTGTTGGACACTAGAGAAGCATCTTCTGCCTTTTATCTTGCTCATCAATATGGTCACTGCCATCCAGAGGAAATGGGCATCCAAGGTCTCTTTGCATGGACATACCAAGAAAAGAAGAGTTATATATTTCAATCAAGCCTTTCCTAAAGTGATAAAGCATTTCCCCGTGATTTGCACCATCAATTTCTGCCTCGTAATTGTCATTGATGTGAAAAAGAGAAGACATACTTTCCCTTTGGTTCAACTGTAAATTTCTTGAAATTGAATTTTGGTAATTCAGATGAGAATCGGTTAAGGATAACCACCTCTGACATTCATCTAGTGAAGATGAAAGCCAGGCTTCTGAATCAGGATGATAATGGTAGTCGCTGGAAACTGTTCTTCTAATGCAATGCTGATAAGGTGAAAGATGTCTGCTGTCTTGGATACATGAAGTGTCATTCTTTCCATTTTCAGACAATTTAAAGTAGTGCTTATTGTGTGACAAGGACAATGCTGTATGGTTAAAATTTGTGTCCGTGTCCTCATAAACATATTTTCCAAACCTGAATTCTTGATATCTTAAGAAACCAGAATCCAATATTGAATTGAGATCCTGTGGCTTGTCGAGAAGTGAGGATGAAGGACTAAAGTGGTATCCATCTGATGTATTATTTAATATCTGCTCCACACCCTGGCCTAAAATCGATATGTCAGGGCTCCTATCTGTTGTGCAGTCAAAATCATTATTCAGAAGAAGAGGAATCGGTTCGCTCTCAAGTTTCCGCAGATCTTTGAAATGATTCAATGTAAAGGTTTCATGCTTTTGCTCATTACACAGAAATCCACGAGTGAAATCACTCTTGTCAATGAAACTTGGAGTTCCACCAAATTCGCTTTCAGCTTGTGTTATACCGAGCAGAGATAGAAATTTGTGACGATGAGTTGGAAAGTTGGCATGTGGAGTAATTATGTCAACTGATTGGAGATACATGGGAGACAACAAATGATCACTGAAGTATGAGCTTGATTCAAGTTCAAGTAGTTTCCTCTTGGGTATCTGATGGTGTTCTGTGAATTGAACATCAAACTCCTGAAAATCACGTAAGTCATATCTGGTAGTATTTGCTGCTTCATTAAACAGTGATCCAAGAGTTATGCCACTCTTAGCAGGGGCACTAAAACTTGGATATGCACTTAGTTTGCACTCAGGTTCTGTTACACTCTGAAGAGGATGAAAGCTGTGAGAATGATAGGCTGGAAACTCAGCTTGCAGAAAGATTCTTTTGTCTGACATAGGAGACAGCAGATGATTGCTGAAGTATGGGCTTGCTTCAAGTTCAAGAAGTTTCCTTTTAGGTATCTGATAGTGCTCATTAAATTGAACATCTGATTCTTTAGAATCAGATAACTCGTATCTGGTAGCATTTACTACTTTTCCTGGATTTGTATCCTCATATTTCTGGCATGGAAAATCACTTTTGTTAAGAAAGGCAAGTCATCAGAAGGATTTATAGCAAAAGAAAGGGTTAAGACAACAAACATTTTCCTCACTGCTCATGGGAAACAGCCGACTAAGGAGGATGGAAATAATGTTGTGCCTGAAAAATTCCTATTATATTCATGATAAAGAACAAGAAAAATTAATAATAGCAAAACTGTGCCTAACCGTTTTGAATAGAGCTTCTCTTTGTCAGTAAATAATGCATCTGTGACACACTGTTGTAATTTCTGTCTCTTTCTAGAGAAAACTTCTCCATGAATATACTTGTTTCCTATTTGCCACAAAATAAATAGTTTTACACAAGCTGTGTCAAAAGATTCTCAAATATGGGCAGAAAATTCCATGTCTTCATCTACATAATATGCATTTTCCTTACAATAATAAATTTGACGCTTGAAGGTTAATAAACAAATCAGTGGCACCTACTAAAAGCTTGACATTTACCTCCATAGGAAGACCAATAAGATAAACGATGTATGTTCAAATTGTCCTATCAAAATTTTGAGAGCAAATACATGTAACACCTCACCAACTTGATGTGGCCACTGGCTACACATCATAGAGTTCAAAGTAGAGAAGAGGGATTGATTGATTAAGTAAGATGCTTGACGTACAAGGGGAAATGGTATTTATAGGAAGCACGGAAGCATCTAACAGCTAACAACTACAATGATCCATTTGGTTACAACTAACAATCTAACAGGCTTAGTTACAAACAACTATCAGCCAATTTCTGTTATGTTCTATATATTATTTTTCCTCCGCAATCCCCTAGCACCTAAGCAATCAAGATGAAAACAATCCAACCTTCATGTGAAAACATATGCTGGGGTTGTTTGAAGTTGTCACCACGACCTTGAGAGGTTTTTGGCATGTTGCTGATACAGTACAGACCTGCATTTTATCACCAAGAAAAATATCTTTGGGTACAAGGTTGTTATTTAGCAATAAATTAAAAACTGAAATTATAGTCGGGGAAAATAGTTCTCAGCATTCAACTATTTTTAGACTACATGGATATAGTCCTCCTGATTTACCTGATAAACCGGTAAGCATTGTATTTTAATTCAAGACATATACTAGGTCAATTAGAAAACTCAACAAAAATGCCACGAGATAAATTAAAAAAGAGAATGTGACCAAATTGAAGTAGAAATTGACATTTTGAGAAGAAGAGAAGCAAAGTTTCCAGAACAAGGAACACTTCTTCCTGATAAGTATCACCTTTCCTATTTATTGATATGTTGTGTGCATCGCGATCATATGTATCAGTGTATCACTGTGGCTAGATTATTGTGGAATTCTCTTCTTATACACACCTGATTTATTCCAAGCACCATCAGAAGGTGAGAGAAATGAATCTGTCCTAACAGTTGACGGGTCATTGATGATCCTTGAAGAGTTGGAGCCCTTACCACCAACCCTGACATCACTGGTCTTCTCTGTATAGACATGAAATAAAAGATTTAAATATAATTTTAATCATTATAAATATATCATTTTTTATTGTAGTTCTTCTAAAATTTGAATTTTGGACATTTTAAAGGAGAGCACTTTTGTTCACTGCCATTATTATAGATCTGTTCAGATGCTAACAGGTAAAAAGAATGCTAGCAACACGCTCTTTTGAACACATTATTCAGCAGACTCCTTGTAATTAGTCCATTTTTTAAAAAGCCTAAACCACCTGCCTCATAAATTGATAACTTTTTAAAAATTACTTTGACTTTAAAAAAAAATAATTAATCATATGAAGTGTGTTGTTAGCATTACTCAACCTGTAAAGCAAACTTCCAACTCATTGTTAAGCGAGGCATCGGTATATAACCAATTTATAATAAAAGGCGGGGACCAAAAGTACTAATTCTGAAAAAAAAAGGGAACACAGACCAAAACCCAAATTTTAAAGAGACTAAAAACCAAAATTTAGTATTGTTATTATTATTAGCTAATGGCATTATTTCAGTCCTTCAGAAGAATCTGTCAAAACACATACAAATTTTTTTCTTCAACCAACCTCTGGAATAGTCACTGGATTCATGCTTCTTCGGTGATAGGCAAGAATCCTTCTGCTGTGGACGCGAACGAAATCTCAGGGTGGCATCCTTCTTCAATTTCTTAAAGAAAGCATACTCGGAAGTTTTTGGATCTGTATCTACACATTAATTCCAAATCCTAGGTTAAACGCTCACAAGTAAATAAATAAATAAAATTGTAATTTATTTAATTCTGACAATTATTTGTTACAACAACTTGCATGTTTTGACCTTTCCTACGACGCAGAATTTGAAAGTAATTGATTATTCAAAACACATTGAACAAATTGTTCGGTATTGATTGTGATCATAAAAGTGCGAGAATAAATGAATGATCAGAGAAAAAATGAGAAGAAGCAAATCGCACAATGAGAAAAGAAAGAAACCTTTGGTTTCGGAGTTTGGAGGTGCATGGTATGGTGGTCGGGTTAGGGTACGAGAAAATGGATCGTTAGGGTCAATTTGAGGACTTTTCCTTTTCTTCATTACACATTTGCATCACAAATTACAGGGAACGAATCGCTCGTTCTCCCAACAGTGGGAGCTGTTCAGAGTGATGAAAGAAACAGAGCGAGAACACAGGATTTGGCGCCAAACGGCACGTGACAGTTCCACACCCGTGTAAAATTACAATTTTACTCGAGTGTTTAACACATGAACATTAATTAAAATTAAAATTTTAAATTTCTGTTATTTGATTTACGTGTTGGATGACAGAGTATGCATTTTGGTTAGATTTAATTTTAATTTTTTGTGCTAATAAATTTGTATTAGTATTTAATCATATTATAAATTTTATTAAAAAGTTTACTATCACAATTAATGTAGAAATATTTTAACATATTTAATGATTACAAACATACAAATTGAAATTGTATTTGATGTGTGTTATAAAATTATAGAATTTAATTTTAGCATAGCGCTGTAAATTACATGAAAACTAATATTTATTTATTTATTATCAATGGGATATTTGAAGATGAAAATTTGGGATGGGATGGGTCAAATTCTTGAATATGACCAAGTCTTTCTTTTTTCATTCCACTACTATTCTCTTGAAACAAATCACACTTAATTTGTTGGGCCTGGCTCATAGTTGAGTATAACTAAAACGCCAACAAAATTAGTTAGGCCCAAAAGAAAAGCAATAAAAAGGTAAAATAATAATAAAATATAAGAATTGTTTGTGAGAAAGATATGGATATGGATGGCATTTTAAGCCTAATCTAATGGGCTCACTTACTTAAGCCCGCTGTAAATGACAGATTGGAATTGACTGTTAGACTTATTTTTAAAATTTTTTAAATTAAAATATAATTATTTATTAGTTAAATATTTTTTTAATATAAATTTTAGGCAAATTAACCTATTAATTCACCGTCAACCATTTTTATTATTATTATTTTTTCTTAAATGGATTGTTTTAGAAAATATAGTCTACTTTAAAAAATTGGTTTTTTTAAATTTTTTTTTTTGAAGTTGAAGAAGACAGTTTGCTTTGTCATCTCTAGAGGACAATTTGGAGGAAAAAAAATATGACACATTTAATTTTAAATTAAGATAATTATGTAATATTTACAATAATAAATATATTATTTTTTTATTAATTTATATCTTATTTTAAAATTAATTAATTTAAAATAATTTTTTTCTTCAAATTTCAATTTCCCAAACAAATTTTAGAGATTGTTTGATATATTTTTTAAAATATTTGTTTAACAATTTTGAACAAACATCGTGTTCTGTAATATTTAAAGTTATAGCATTATAAAATAACTCTACTGTATTATTTTATGAATGTTATTTGACTCCTTTAAACTATAATCATGTTATCATTGACAAAAAATAAAAAAATAAGTCATAAATACTTTTATTTCTCGTATTTTTGTAATGTTGGTAGAGACTTGATTCATTCTTCCTTTATCACTAATATTAAGAACATATATAGATTCTTACCTACCGAATATCCTTAGACGCAAGGCTTAATTTTCTTCTTGATGTTTATATGATAATCATATATTGCCCTAAAATATGGCTTTTGTTTTGGTATGAGAATTGTATAGCTTTAAAAAAAACTATTTCAAAATTCAATGAATGGTTAAAGGGTAAACATAGTTTGTTTGCAAGCAGAATCTTTACCATTGTTTATCAATTTATGTAAAACAATATTTTAGATACGCTAAAGCAAATTATACGTTGTTAAACATCATAAATTAATTATTTTTATATAAACTAAACACATGCGTATTAATCTTATGTCATAAAATGAAAAAAACTCTCCATTGACTTGTTATTTTATGAGAAATGCTAATTCTAAAACAGATTATTATAGCTTTTTTTTTATAAATTAGAAAGAAATAAGAAAAAAATATTATAAAAATTTAGTGTGAGAATAATAGGACCTATATTTTATTTCGTCCATGATCCATTTCGTATTTTCATATTTTCCTAGCCGAGTGAGAAGCCACTCACCGAGTTGACTCGTTGGTTTAGAAATGGATGAGTGGTAATAACATTATCCAAAGGAAAGGGATATGGTGCACAAGTGGCAGCACCCTAGTGGAGGAAACGATTGATACACACTTGAGGGGATCAGATAATTCACTAAACTAAGCAAGCAAATTCAGTTCATTCAAATCCTCAAAGTGTTTGTGTAACACTTGTCCTTTTGCCGCACTTAAGATTACCAAAGAGAGAACCTGAGACACACACACACACACACACAGAGAAAGCAAGTGATGGCTAGCAGCAGCATGGCATCAGCAGCTTCTGGGTTTGTGTTGTCACTTAATGTTGCAGCTGGCACCACAACTTCATCACCTTCCAAGCTCATCTTCCCTACTAAGATCAACGGTTCTAGGCTTGTTGTAAGGGCATCAGATGAGGCTGCACCTGCCACTGCCACTCCTCCTGCTGAAGGTGAAGCTCCCAAACCCAAGCCACCACCAATTGGCCCCAAGAGAGGTGCTAAGGTGAGCCACCCCATACCTCAGCTTTTCACTTGTTAAAGATGTCCCACATCGGTTAAATATAGTCAGAGTAATCTTTACAAGACTTGGGCAATTATGCCCTTTGTGATTTAGCTTTTGAGAGTTAGTTAGACCACTTTTTAATGTTACCGGTGCTAATTGCCCTTCTCATGAACATGACTCTTAATGGTTCACACTTCACTGTTTATGAATACATTAGCATAGCATGCCAATTAGTAGCTAACTGGTAAGGGAATAAGTTTCCAAAGTGCTTTTTCTATAGTTATAAATTATTATCAAAGTATGTAAATAGTAAGAACAATTTTTTCTCATACCAAAAATAAATACTTTATTTTCTAGTTCAACTCTAACCTTCTATATTGCAGCTATGGTCATAATAAGTGCATCAAGTAGTTTCTTGGTATAAATATGGATTGAGTGATGAATTTGTCCGTGTGCTACATTCATTTGAGAAGTTTTCTGTTACTTAATAGTTTGAAAGTTGAAATTTGCATTGAACTAGCTATCTAGCAACATGCTTAGTCTCTAATTTTTCTTTGCAATTTAACAGGTGAAGATTCTTAGGAAGGAATCCTATTGGTACAAAGGAACAGGTTCAGTTGTTGCTGTTGATCAGGTTAGTGTCCCTAAACTCGCTCTTAAGGCAATAATAAATACCCTCTAAATTTTCTGCTATCCTATGCAAATCCAATTGATGTTTTATTGGTTTTTCTTGTTGTGCAGGATCCCAAGACTCGCTACCCTGTCGTGGTTCGATTCAACAAAGTCAACTATGCCAATGTATCAACAAACAACTATGCTTTGGATGAGATCGAGGAAGTTGAATAAGTCCAATTTAATTTTAATTTTGACTCTTGTCATGTTATTGCAGTTATTAGTCTAAGGTTTTTTATGTGAAAAAAAAAAATGTATCATATTCTCTCTAATCTCTATAAACTACATTCTGTGTGCAGTTGCTCATAATCTTCAACTTCCCTTACTTCTTATTTTATTTGAAATCAGTGATTAGGCATGTTAATGCCATAAATTTAAGACTACTACAACCATTAAAATTGACCTAAAAATAAAAATGAAATACTCACGCATTTGAATGAGCTTTTATTTGCGGTACAAACAAAATGTACTCACCAATGCAACTGAAAATGCGTGATGAAAAATTGGCAGCGTAATTTTTGGGATTATCTAATTGATAAGTGGTTTATTAACACTCGACTACCTTATTTTTCCCAATCTACGATTTTTAAGTACATTTAACCCTTAGAAGTAAGGAACATGGGAAACCAAAGCTTTGTATCATGTTCATTTATAGCACAAACACCTGAACTATCATGGGAATTCTCTGTTCCAAACATTAATTTCATGTTACTTACCACGTACAAGCAAACTTTGGAAAATTTTAATTGCACACTGTTACCGAATTTGATTTAAGGAAAAAAAAAAAAGAGAAGAAATAGGAAAGAAGAGGAATGGTGGTGTCGAAATTATGTGAGCTACGTGAATCGTTTTTATGTACAAGTGCTAACATAAAGCTTATCAGTTCATGCCTTTTGGCCATTAGGTAAGGTAAATATAAACATTAAATAGCTTTTCATTGACTACAATCATACAAACGGTAATATTACTAGGGGACAACCCTCAAAAAGGGATCAACACAGGATTCTAATACAGAATTATCAGTCATCTTACAAAAAGAAAAGGGAAAATATAAGGAGTCCTCATCTGATCCAGCCACCAAACATATTTAAACATGACCTTATAAAGAACTCATAAGAAAATCAAAGCAAAAAAAAAATATATATATATATATATATAAAATCATAAAAGTTTAATGGAATGTCCACTATAAGGATACAAAATCACAAAAAGAAAATGAAAAGGGCTTCAATTATTTTGTTTTTGTGGGTAGGGGTATGAAAGATCAGCCTTTAGAAGGAGAAAGAACACAAGTTCTTCTAAAGAACTCTACCATCCATGCCATCTAGTAGGCCAGTCCAGATTCCCTTTACAGGGGGTAATTGTGCAACCAAAGCATTCCAAGGAGGATAACCAACACCGCTGCCACGAACACGACCATCCATGCGTAGAGATAGATACCTGTACAATGAGAGAAAAAAGCCTAATTTCTCGTGCAATGTTCACAGTAAGACATCCACTCAAAAGTAAGGATCCTTTTGATTACAGTATCAATCCAACCATATAATATGACTATAGAGATTCATTGCACAACTATAAACTTTACAAAAGAAAATGTGCATGTTCTTTAGCTGAAAAGTTAGATATCTCTAAGTATATACATGTCAAGACTAACATCGATAGGACAGTACTTACACCGCAGAATCAGAAGACACACCAGCCAACTTCTTTTGTTCATCCAACCACCTATCAACAATATGGGAAAAAAATTTAAAAAGTACCCAAAAAAAAATTGTATATTCACTTTTCATCCTCAAAGACATACTCAGACCACTCAGAGATGTAAACTGGAGCCAATTGCCAGAGTCTCCTCCTTCTTGTGACAGGCTCCTCAGTCTCATCAAACTCCAAAACAGGTGCATTTCCATCTGTTGCAAAGGGCACAACAAGCACCCCTCTATCCAAAAGACTTTCTGTGAAAGGTTCACTGCGCTTAAAAGACTCGGTTATGAATGATGCTGGGCCAGCACAGATTACAAGCCGCGCAATCCCTCGCAATGAGCTCACAGGAATGATCTTCTTCTCATCCACACGAAGCTTTAGGTTTGATAAACTTTCCTCTCTTGAGAGCCTAGCCACTTGTGCATTCTTTGCTTTGTTCTCTCTAAAGTACAAGAAAGCAAATAAAGACACTGCTGCAACGTCAATGCCAAGACCCTTGAGAATATCAGGGATTTCAGATGCTCTTGATGAGTTAGCCAATGCACCAATTAGTTGTGAGATTGCTACGAATCCCCCAAGAGCACCACTTGCAACAAAAGCTATGTAAAAGAACATCCTAACAGACCGAAAGGGAGAGAGAACTTCGCTCCTTATCTTGGCTGTAGAGCTGAAGAACAAATATGATTAATCATTGATGAAGCATCACTTGCTAAAGAACCTGATGAAAAAAGCATTGCATAAAGTGGTGAACCCATAAGAAAGTAAGAAACTTCAGTGAATTCATGATTCATTTGAGAGGTTTGCCCAAAACAAAATAACTAGGCAAAGTAACACACAGAAAATATCATTTTCATGATGCTTCATTATTTTAACTTTCATCTTCGATTGTTAAACCAGAAAGTGAGAACAGACACTATGCAATGTGGACTCATAAGATATATTTTAAAATTATAGAACATGACACACTTCTAGTGGAACATATATAATTAGTATCATTTAATATTACATAGAAGTCTTAAATCAAAAGAAAGAATCAATTTTTTTGAAATACAGTGACATTTTTACATTAATTATTTATTTATTTATTTCGTACATCCGTAAATACATATTTAATTGTAGCAAACCACCGTCCGGAAAAGCAATGGAAGTGGGAGAGAGAAAAAGGGTACCTAATTTCAGAGGAAGGAGATGGTTTATTGGCAGCAGAACAGACAACAGTGGGAAAGGAAGGTGTATGGTGTGAATAGGAAAGGGTGTGTCCGTAGCCATATCCATAGCCAAAACCTCTGCCACAGAACACAAAATGAGTACGATGATGATTGGTGATGAGGTTGAGAGGTGGTGTTGTTGTGAGAGTTAAACACAAAGTGTTGGAGTTCGGAGTTGCAGAACCGAACGTTAACGCCATGGTTCGGTTATTCAGTTTGGCATATGCAAAGGTGCAAAGTCAACTAACTCATCTCAGCTCACTCCTCTCCTCATTTCGATGATTCTGGTTTTGCCACGCTTACCCCTACCCCCAATCCATCATTTTTATTTTCAAATATAATATATAAATAAGTTGACATGTAATAATAAAAATGTAAAAATATTTTAAAAATAATTATGCAAAAATTCATTAGAAAATAAATCCTTTTAAATTAATAAAATTATTTAAGCTTTGTTGAGACATGTTTGAATGTAAAAAAGATTTTGTTAATTTTAATTTCAAAAATTTATTTCTACTGAAAGTTCCAGTAATATAAATAGTTAAAAGTATTCTATAAACTATCTAACAATTTAGAAAGGAATTTTTTTTTATAATTTTTTGAAGTAATGTTTTAATTTCTATATTTATAATTTTTTAAAAATAATTCTAAAAAAATTCTGAAAATAAATTTATTAATTTCGTACACACGCGTATAATGGGGACCTTGAGCATGCCCTAAATGATCATATAAAAGATAAAAAATATAATAATAGGTGTAATCTTTAATGACATTCATTTTTTCATATATATATATAGACTTTACGTTATAATAGTTATGTCCTTAGTGCGTATGTCTTGGGGCAAAAACTTGAGAAAGTATATCTCCTCCACACTGCCCTGTGTCCATTTTTTCTTTTGAAATTTACTGATAATTATTAATTTTAATTGTATACTTATATTTGGCACACATAAATAGCCTGAAAATAAAAATCTTAATTCCCATGTCTATAATTTAAATGGCAGCATGCTACTTAATAAATGCCAAAAAATGTCATGCAAATTAAAAGGAATTATGAAGATATTATATAGTATTCAAAATCTACAAGGAAAAACAGCAAACATGGAAGAAAATAGAGGACACTCAATTGTTTCAACAATAGTTGCTTCAAGGGTTAGTAGCTATCTATTGGTTCTAGGATTCATATTGGTTTTGACTTCTGCAACTCATTCAAGTGATTCAAGTATTTTTCCTATATTCATAAAGTGGCATGTGTACATTGTTAATGGGTTGAGCAACAACCAGGATTTGTATACACATTGCAAATCTGCAGATGATGATTTAGGGTCCCACAAGCTATGTCAAGGTTCCAATTTCACTTGGAGTTTTAGGATGGATTTCTCCCACTCAACTCTATTTTGGTGCTATGTGAGCAAGGACAATGCTTTTGCCTCCTTTGATGTTTTTTGGCATGATGAACATCTTTTCAAAATGTGTGATTGGAAGAAATGCATTTGGGTTGCTAGAGATGAAGGAATTTACCTAACACATTTGGATGAAAATGTTTTCCGTTATAGGTGGGATGTTGGAACATGAAGATGTCAATTTTTTTTTTCTGTTTTGGTTTTTCAATAAATCATATTATCATAAAGTATGTTTCACTTTAGCTCTTTCTTTTTTTTAATTTTTTTCTTATCCATTTCTATTCACTAACTTTTATTTTTGCATAATTTGGTTTTTTTATTATTATTATTATCATCATCTTAGAACTTAATTAATTCAATCTTATGTGACATTTATATAGATCTATTAAACTCTATTCATTTAGTCACAAAAAGTTAAATTGAAGAATAAAATAATTTAGAAAATAAATTAAGGCCAATTTAGATAAATTTCTAAAGAAGTCATTATAAAAATATATATATAAAATAATAAAATTTCTCTTATAAGTTTAAAATAATTTATTTTCTTAAATTTTAGAAAATTTAAATATTTTTTTTAAAAAAATAGAGAAACATACTCAGTTTTTCTTCTAAATTTTTTCTTTATTTTTAATTATAAAAATTTTAGATTAAAAGTTATTTTTAATAAAAAAAATTAACTTGTATACAATAAAATTTATTAAAAATTATAATATTTAATTGTATTAATACATTAAATTAAGATTTTTAATAAAAATATATTATATATAATTTTTTATTTCATACAATGTTAGGAATTAGAAAAATTTATCATAATAGTACTAAAAATATTTCCCTATTCACGACCACAAAATAAATCCGTATACATAAATAGCATTGAAGAACGTATCCTCTAACAGTATCGAAATCCGACCCAAACACAAACCTTACACACCACCAAATCCATCAATTGTGAGACCATTCCACCTCTGAATTGGATTGGACTGCCCTTTGACCTTCACTTGTAAGGGTTTTTTTTTTTTTAATTGTTTTATTTGGAAGATTGAACTTGGTTATCTGCAATTAAAATATATAATATTTAGATTAGATGCTATATTATTGATGATAATATCGTTTCAATCAATACTTGATCTGTTGCTATGTATGGAAAAGATCTTTGACTTGGCTATAATGTACCATTTAATACTTTTGTTTCAGTCTTCTATCAAAGACTCCTTATTTGCAATCTGCTATATTCTTTTTATCTGTTTCTTTTTAATTGCTGAGTGATCTAATCCAGAGGTATATTGGTGTCAAGTTAGAGGTTGAAAAGGTTTAGGATGTGGCGATTATGTTATTGAATGAATGATAATTATGATATGTATGAAGTTCCTTTACCTGCTCTTTCCCTCCCCCATCTCCCCTTCTTTGAATCATATAAAACAGAAAAAAGGAAAATATGAAGGGGTTTTCTGTTGGGTACTTATAGGTACATGATATGAAAGTACTAAAGGGTATTAAAGAATCAATAAATAATAAAGTTTTATTGAAAATCATGTTGGAATTCATTAAAGAATATAAGAGTAAGTGTATTGGTGCATTAAATGTCATATAAGGATCAAAACCACAAAAAAAGTTTGGAGAGACCATAACCAAAATCTCATTAAAATAATAAAAGCATATTTAATCCTTATAACAATTTGTTGTTGCAGAGCTGCAGTATAAAATGGGAGAAGTGAAACTACTGGGAGCTTGGCCAAGTCCATACGTCTACAGGATCTTATGGGCTTTAGAGCTGAAGGGCATAAAGTATGAGTATGTAGAGGAGGATTTAAACAACAAGAGTGATTTGCTATTGAAGTATAACCCAGTTTACAAAAAGGTTCCAGTCCTTGTTCATGATGGAAAGCCAATCTCAGAATCCACTGTAATTCTTGAATACATAGAGGAAACATGGACACAAACACCCTTGCTTCCAAAGGACCCATATGAGAGGGCCGTGGTGCGGTTCTGGGTCAGTTTTTCTGAGGAAAAGGTAACAAAGTTATTAGTTGAACAGTTGAAATTTCAAGTCATTCTATGTTTGTTCTCTCTTCTTTATCTGTGATTGTAGAGGCATTTAATCTTATTTATAATGTCAATTGCAGAGTGTTTCATTTATGTCATTCTTTGTAACTGTTGGAGAAGAGCTTCAGAAGGCAACAAACGAAGTTAGAGAAGTGCTTAAAATATTAGAAGAAACTGTAGGGGACAAGAAATATTTTGGTGGTGAAGAAATTGGACTGTTAGACATAATCTTGGGATGGATACCCTTGTCATTTGGAGTCATTGAAGATGTTGTTGGAGTTGAAGTGTTGATTGTCAATGATTTCCCTCGCATGTTTAACTGGATTCGGAACTTCAGGGAGCACCCCACTATCAAAGCCAACCTTCCAAGTCACCAAGATTTGTTTGCTTATTACAAGCAAAAGAGGGAGATTTTTGTTCCATCCAATATAGCATGAATGCTAGATAGAACTGGTTTGTATTTTAATGATATATTTTGCTTGATGCTTTATATATGTTAAAAATAGCATGCATGTAACATTCTATCAACTAAAGCAAGAAAGATTGACTTTCTTTTCTCACATTGTATTGGTTCATTTCTCCCCAATACCATCTCCCTCAACTAACGAGTGTTGTTGCCCGGTTAGAAGAATGTGAAAATGCTTAAATCACTTCATAAGAATTATATCCCTTCTTCCTTCCACCTCCCCCATGTCACTCAAGAAGAGGAGGGAACACAGCAGGAGTATTCACTCAGTATGATAGCAGTGAACTTATAGCTCAGAGAGAAATTATAACTTATTGCTTCCATTGTGTTCGCCATTTTATTTATGAAGAATAACTTCAGAGCTTACTCTTTTGTTGGTTCCATTGACAAGAAAGAGGACCAGCAAATTTCCTAGTGCTTGGACAACTGGTTTAGCCAATACTTCTGTTTCAAGGATGCAGTTTTACATATCAACCATCATTCAATGTGCAGAGTGTTAACTGCACTATCATATGTGATTTAATTGGGTGTCCAGCACTTTCATCAGTTGAACTAAAATCGCCTTTTCTTTCAATTATTACAAGTTTACAAGCTATAGATGGAGGAGTCAATAAGCCAATAGTGGTTTTCGTCTTCCAACAAAATGAAGATCTATGACACATGGTTCTGATAGCACCCTACCAATTTTTTGCGTGCTATGTCTCAAGTTATGGATGACAAGCATATGTGCATGACCGAAGTGTTTAGACAATCATACAAAGGAGGTTTAATTCTATGTAACTCAAGAAGAGCATGAGAAGGCCACAAAGGAGGCAAGGGTAATTTGGTGGAAATCTTAACCTTGAAAAATAATTCTCGCAGTTTCCAGAAGCTTACCAAGGTCAGCAAGTCAGGACATGCCTCAAGCATCAAAAGACACTTACAGATGTATTTAAAAATCACCTATCAAACGTTTAAACTATAAATTTGATCATGCAAGTTGTTGACAAAAACTAAAAATAAATTATATTGATAAATTATACAAAAAGAAATTATTAAAATAAGTTTAAAAAGCTTGTTGAAATAAGTTTTAAAAAAACTTATGAAAGTTATTTTTATAAGCTCTATCAAACACAGTTTTAATACTTCTAAACATATGTCCCTGAACATAAGTTTGAAAAACTGTATTTTAATATGAAACGCCAATTGTTTCCCTGGCTTGCTCGTTTAGATTTATAATTCCAAGAATGCGGGGCTTTCAAGACAAACCCTCCGAATCATGAGGAGAAGTATGCCAATTACAAACAAAAGACGGGAATGACCATCTTATAAAGTACACCTTGCTAATATCTGACCTCTCAATTATCACAAAGTTAAATTTACAAGCTTACAAAAAGTTATCTCGAACTTGACATGCAACAAATAATGAAAGATTTACGGGTACCCCATGTCATGTGCTTTGAGCATTAAAAGATTTTGAAGCAAATATAGGGTATCGATTGTTGATACATCCAGGTACAAAAGCAAGTTGCAACTTTTAGTTCTGTAACCCTTATCAATGTGCTCTTATTTCTTTCAATCAACATTCGTGACAAACATTGAGAGAACTGCATTGGCCTACAAAATAACAGATTGATAATGGGATCAGGATCCCTTTAGGATGACAGTCAATCACTTAGCTCTCTGGTTTTTTGGCATTAGCTTCTGTTAGCAAATGTTCAAGTTCTCCTTTCCGGTATAACTTCAGTGTTTCTGCATGAGTAAGAAAATAATGTTAGACAAAAGGAGAAAACGAAGAAATTGCATTGTTAGATTTTTATTAAACTGTATCATGTTAAATTTCTTGAAACTTCAAGAATACCAACTTTCATAATACAACAATAACAACTAAACCTTATCTCACTAATTGTGGTCAATTACATAGATCACACAGCGCTATTAAACTCAGTCAAAAACTAAATTTGATAAGATACTGAGTAGGGGCAATAGTATCATTAGTTGAAGGGCCCACCTTCTTCCTCCTTGTGTAAACCTGCCACACCTTGGGCCTCACTAATTCTCCTTCTACAGGTCCATCACTCTCTTTTATACTACCACCCCTACTCAGTATCCTATCAAAATTCTTTGATGTATTATTTATCATTAGATCTCTTTTAATAATTTCCTCTAAAATTCTTTTGAATTTCTCTCTACTCCTTTTCCTCGGACTAGAATACCAAGTTCATATAGGTAGTAAATTTACATTTGCAGTTATAGATATTTAAAAGTAAAAGCAGAATGGTAAAAAAAAATGTAAAGATAAATATCACTCCAATCATTGAGGAAAAAAATGATGTGTTGAACTGTGGAGACATTCTCAATCAGACAATCAAGAATCTAAAAGACAATTAAACTAGGAAAATGTACCTGTACAGCCGCCAATGTGTTTGCCACCTGCAATGAAGAAGAAAAACTTCAGGATATGTTCTAAATTGTTCTGTTCAAAAGATGAAATTGAAAACAAGGTAGTAGATTTTTGTGTTTTAGGGAAATTATAGTAAGATAATATAAGGATCCAATACATTGTTCATGCATGAAAAGATGTGTTTTGAAAAAGCTTAAATGTCTGAGGAGTTACTAAGGCAACATTCTTCACAGTAAGGACTTTGTAGTTAGATGGAAAAAATGGATATCAGATTCTCTAAAATTGTAATAAAATAATAATCTTGTCACCTTGGTAGTAGCAGATTAGTTGGAAACCTAAAACTGATGGTGGATTGGGCTAGGGAAATTTGACGTCTGAACTTATGCGTTGGAAATTAAATGGCTGTGGGCATTGGGCTCTCCTGAATAGACTACTCCTTTTTGGCACCCAGTTGTTTAGATTAAATAAGTGCATGGTTTAGATGAAAATGGATGTGATCCCAACCTAATGATTCATCATTCATGTAACATTGTAACTAACTCCAATCCCTGGGAGTTTATGTTTCCAGGTAGGGATCCTTTTAGATTGTCTGATTTTCATTAGCTGGGAGACAATACATGAATTTTTTAGAGGATAATTGGGTTGGAAATGTCACCTTTTTAAAGGCTTTTCCTCAGGGTTCCCACAAAAACTGAGACTTTGTCTTTGGTAAAAACTTGGATGATAGAGATCTGAAGGATCACTGAGCAATTCCAATGAGATTTCGTTCTTGAACAAAAATCAACTTTGGTTTATTTCATCTATCCTGTGATTGAAAGAAACGGGGGATACACATAATATCATGATTTTGAATCTAAAGAATTCAAGAAATGGCAGATCTATGTACTCCATTGATAACCAAGCCAGATCTGGAGTATCACAAGGGATTTTTCATTTCTATTGATTCCTTTGGATTTGATTGAAAACAAATTTTGAATATGGTATTCAACTTTGAGGATGAATAAAAAAAATCGTAATTGGTTCTATTCTACCTCCTCTTCTTTATGAATAGAAAGAATCTTGTTATCAAAGGATCATAAACACAAACCGTTATGCTGCTTGGACCTGCTCACTTTTTTCCTCCTTCACAAATTCATGTGGAAATCCATGGTTGTTTTAAGGGATTTTCTATCTCATTTGCAAAGAGATTGTGCAACCTTGGTGCATTATTAGTTTTTTCCTTCCCTACTTTTGTCATTTTTGTCATCTGTGCAATTTAAGAAGATACCTTATCCTTGCATGATTGTGATAGTTTCTCTTCTCTCAAATATAATTTCATTTTTATTTAAAAGAAAAAACAATGAACACTCTCACAGCTGAACTTACACCTCTCTCTCTTCTGGCATAAACATAAACTTTTAGTTTCATAAATCATTATGTACTAAGCATATTCAACATGTCTTCAAGCCATATAAGTGCTTATTAGAAGTCTATATATCATACCATATAGTTTTCAAGTTAGACCTTATACCTATGAAGTACTGACTCTGACACGGACACTGGACACGACACGGACACTGGACACTAGACACTAGACACGACACGGACACCGGAACAAGGCTAATGTCTAAAATATAAGACACTGCGACACCGCTTATATATAAATATATAAAATTAAATATAATTAGCATGACAAGGATTAACGTTGCTTGGAGAAAGAATGATGAGCGGTGATGAAAAAACTCGAACGGCAAGCCAAGGACAAGAAAAATGTGAGAGAACCAACACAGAGAATAGAAAGCAAACATGTGGAAGAAGAATAAGAAGAAAGGAGGGAGTTTTAAAGATTTTTTAATTTTTTTAACTTTTAAAAAAAAATTTATTTTGATTTTTTTTTTCTGGAGTGAGCCGCTTTGGAGCAGTGTCTTCGATCTGCAACTGTGTCTGTGCCGTGTCGCAGCCGGAAAATTCATTTTAATTTTTGGACACTTGTAAAACAGTGTTGGACATGTGTCAGAGTAGTGTCCAGGGGTGTTAGTGTTGTATTCGTATCCGACACCGGGACTCTTCTTCATCTTGCAACGTCAGTACTTCATAGCCTTATACTATATAGCAGCCAAAGTTGAACATAAACAAGTCTTGCCATATCAATAAATTTCTCATAACCTAATGGGCATGAGTGAAATAGAGAAGCAGATAAACTTGTATTCTAATTTCTTTAGAATCTTGAGTTAAAATTAGAGTTGATATTTCATGCAAGGAACAAAATTTTATCAGATCCCAAATTAAAGTTTTCACTCTTTTTAAAAAACAATCTGAATCACAAACAAGAAATGCAAAAACTGAGGAGCAGTAATCTATGGATGCCCACATCATCTCCTCACTCAAGAAGAATTAACAATCTCAAGACATGCAGCTATCCACCAGTCAATAATATATGGATCTGATGGCTCCCCTACAATATCAGACTTTTCCAGGCGCCCACTGTGTGGGTAAAATTAAATCAAATTGCAATTTAAACTGTACCACAGCGCACTAATGAAGATGCCTAAGTAGAAAGCTTAACATAACAAAAACTGAGGCAATAAACAGCAAGTACGACCAGCAAGAAGTCTTGGCACCCAAAACTACAACTGGAATGCATGCTATCATGCACCAGCCAAGCATTTACTCCCTCACTTCACAACTAAGTTCTCTAAGAGGTTTTCTGATTCCGATTATCTTATTACATGAAACCAGCCTAATAAAAAGCTTGTAGGAGTTTGGTATCTGTTGTATCAAATTGAGTGGAATTTTTCAAATACCTCATCCTCTCCCATGTATCACCATGTGTGCAAGTCTGAAAAATATTTCCTTTTCTCCTCTGTTTAATGTCTACATTCCCCCCCTCAACAACATGATTTCAGTATGCTCCAGAGGGGAGGGCACGTCAACTAAGGGGCTTATCAACAGAAAAATAAAAATCCACCAGCAGTAACAAGGAAACAACATTAAAAAATGCTAGAGGCATAAATATTTAGGGTGCATTTGGATACCCAGTTTATTTAAGCACTTATTCAATAAGCTCTTTTTAAACGATGATTTATGTTATAAATTTAACAATGAAACTTATTAAGTTCAAAATAACATATTTCCATAAGCCATACCCAGCAGTTTATTGAAATAAGCTGAAAACGTTTTATTAGAGTCATAAATTATTTTCTATGAATTCTTCAAAAACTCTTCCACACAGCCCTTCATTGACTAGAAATCATTTACGCTTTGTATGAGTATGATTACGTAAGAATAATGCAACAGAGACAGTACTTACCAATAAATACATTTGGCACAGTGTATTGCCCCGTGATCCTCTCCAACACCTTCTGCAACTGTGGCCCTTGAGGACCTAAAGAGAATAATAAAGTAAGTGATATACTGCAACAGTAAGACTATAAGATTCACTAGTGATATAATTAGGGTTGAATGAAACTGAAACAGAGAAAGAGTTGAATCGAAATACCCATTTCGTCCAATTCTAAGACGAAAGGGTCAACGCCGAGCCTCTTGAACAAGGATTTGACCTCGGAAGAGTACCTTGGAAGCAAAAGAGGGAAAAGATAAGGGAATGCAGAAGCAGAAAGAGTGAATGAAAAGGGTAAGATTAGTCAGTGACATACGAACACCACGTTTTTGAGTAAACGACAACGGGATTCTCAACCACGGTTTTCTTAATGGTGTCTTCGAGGCGAGAGCCAAACGAGGAAGAGGAAGAGGAAGAGCAGGCCCGAACCCGAACAGAGGTGGGTCTGCATCTCGGGCTCGGGCGTGGGCTTGGGCTTACAATGATGCGGGAAATGGGGAGGGAGGAGAGTGTGTGAGAAAAAGAAGGTTTCTTGAAGTTTGAGAGAGGAAGAGAGAGAGCGTTCCCTATTGCCATTGACATTGCTATTGCTTCTGCGATTCAGATTGTTAAGGTATCGTTTTGCAATGCTATGATAACTAACTAAAAGGAAGCACTTGCTTCACCATCATTTGCTTGCTTCCCTCATAATGAATTTAATTTTACTTTTCTTAAGATAATGAATTCAAATACACAACCCATTGCGGATACGTTATTCATAATATAATACTATAATTATTAATTATAAAATACAAAATAATTTTATAAAATTTTTATAATAATATTTAAATTATTTTAAAATTTAAAATTAATTAATACATACAAATTATTACTAGTAAAAATTAATTATTTATAATTAATTATTTTCTTTTCTTAAACGTTGTAAGAATAAATGTATTAATATATTAATATTAAAATTATAAAAAAATATATAAAAATATTAATCGTATTAACTTAAAATTTAAAATAAACTATTAATATTAAAATTTAAAATTGTCATAAATTTTGTAAGAATAAATGTATTAATATATTAATATTAAAGTTAAAAAAATAAATAAATATATTAATTGCACTAAATTAATATTAATTATTATTTATTTTATTGTTTTATTATCTTTCAAACATATAAATTCATTAATTTTTTTTCATTCATTCTATTATTTTTTATTAATTAAATATTAATTATTAGTTTTTAATAATTAAATTTAAAGTAAACTACTAATATTAAAATTTAAAATTGTCATAAATTTTACAATAATAAATGTATTAATATATTAATATTAAAATTAAATAAATAAATATGTTAATTATACTAAATTAATATTAATTATTATTCATTATATTGTTGTATGACCTTTTAAATATATAAACTTATTAATTCTTATTCATTTATTCTATTATTCCTTATTAATCAAATATCAATTATCAGTTTTCAATAATAAAATTTAAAATAAATTATTAATATTAAAATTCAAAATTGCATTAAACTTTATAAAAATAAATGCATTAATGTTAATATTAAAGTTATAAAAAATTATATAAATATGTTAATTGTACTAAATTAATGCAATTGTGAATACAAATTTCAAAACTCGTCTACATTTATATATAAGTTTTTTCTTTAAAAAAATATTATTATTTGTAATAAGATAACTTATACAAGTGGTGCTTACCATGTTAAAAGAATGTTTGATCTTTAAGTATTAAAATAAAATATTAATTTTAACTTAATGAATTATATAAATAGTTTATCTATAATATATGCGTGCACTATACACAAAGTTAATTAGATCAACATTATCAACAAATCTTTTAACATTGTATGAAACTCAATTAGCATATAAATTTGCTTGAACAATTTCAACTTTGAATAGAAAGAACTTGACAATATTACATCAATCTCTGGAGAAAATTCACTACTCACATTTGTCTATAAGAGTAAAAAATTATTTTAAAAATATTATAGATTAAAACAAATATAAATAATTAAATGAAACCAATATCAACACAACTCACCTTTAGTCATTTCTGTTTTTAATTGTTTTGTAAATTTTTCAATGAATTATGATAGTGGATTTTTAAATATTGTAAAAGAAGCAGATTTAGTGAGATTCATACCATTAACATGCGGCTTAAGCTACAAAAAAGAATTGGTTATAAATACACTAAAAATTTTACTAAATTAGTTTTAAATGAAATAATTTATAAGTAGTAATATTTGTACCTAAGAGTATAAATGATATAACTCGGACAATTTTCATAAAAAATTATGTCAATTTTTTTCGGCTTCTTGAAACACTTATTAATAATAACAACTTTGTTTTATTATAAGCATTTGATATGCCTAAAATTTCTGAAAGAACCATGAGATATAGTTTGTTAATAATAATAACTATTATACAAATTAAAAAGAGTTCAATGTAAATAAAGAAACATACCATTAAATATTTTATTTTATATAATTAAATAACCACATTAGGTAAATTATTAGAATCTTCACTATTTGTAAAATTAAGTGTTGATAAGAAAACTCCTCCTATAAAGTGCAAACAATTCTTTGATTCCTATCAAACAAATTTAATATAATATAACCTTTAATTAGTATAAAGTAATCAAAGGAGGAAAATAAATAACAAATATTTTAGCCATTAAAATATGTTTTAAAATACTACTCACTCTAAGTCTTTGAGAACTAAATCAATATGTTTGATCTTCTTTCCATTTTTCTTTGTGTGATTGAGATTATATTTCTCAACTACATGACCGATAACATCTAATTGAACACGCATTAAATATTCTTTTAAAATATTAAAGTAACATATAAGATCAAATATAAAAGCGATCAAATATAAGAAGAAGAAAAAAAGAACTCACCAATTAGATAGAGTTCATCCAACCTACTTAAAACTTTTGAAAATATAACAAAATCAAAACAGTTAAAAGAGATGTTATCATATTTGACCTTTGAAACTTTTGTGGTTGCCATCAAATTTAACCTTAATTTGTGTTTAGTGATTCACAACTTCTTGTTAAGAGTAATCACCATGAAATTTTTCTTGATATACATATTGTCTTCATGCAATAGTTTTTCATAAAGTGATATAATATTTTTTCTAATAGTACAACAAATCCTTGAATTTTGAAATAATGAGAGAAGAGAAGATGAATGAATTAAATTAAATAATAAATTTTTTTTATGCATTTAGACTAAAGAAATTTAACAACTTCACCTTTTCATCGGTCAAAATCATGTCCATGCTATTAACTTGACTTTTATTTTTAAACTCAAAAGAAAATCACAAACCAATGATTTGAACTATTATCTTTCAATCCACCTTCTCACATCATATTTTATAAAGTATTGAAATCGCATGTGCCATTTTGTAAAAATATTATTTTAAACAAACAACTTGTACTCACCCTTATATATACTAAATAAAATATAATTTATTTCTCTTTGTTAAATATTTTACTTTTGTCCATGTAGCTCTCGTGCACCATTTAATTGTATTTACAACATTAAAATTATTTGATTATACATAACATATTAAAATATAACATGCACAACCTTTCAAATATATAAACCCATATTAATTCTTATTCATTCTATTATTTCATGACCTTTTGAATATACAAATCTATTAGTTTTCAAGAATAAATGCATTAATATATTAATATTAGAGTTACAAAAAATGGATAAATATGTTAATTGCACTAAATTAATACAGTTGTAAAAACAAACTTTTTTTCAAAAACTAGAATAAATTGCATTAATATGTTAATATTAAAGTTACAAAAGAATGAATAAATAAGTTAATTGCACTAAATTAATATAGTTGTGAAGACAAACTTTCTTTCAAAACTCAGAATAAATGCATTAATATGTTAATCTTAAAGTTAAAAAAAGGGGTAAATATGTTAATTGCACTACATTAATGCAATTGTGAAGGAAAACTTTTCTCCAAAATTCATTTACTTTTATATACATAAAGATAAAGATTTTAGTTTTATATCATTGTTTTATATATTATCAATGCATGAAGGTAGGATGGCTCCATCAATTTTTTTTTAAACATCAACCTTAAGGATAAATTTAGAGTAAAAAAACACTCTCACTTATTATAATTCTAAAAAAAATTAATAATATATATTAACAAATTATTAATCCAATTTTAATGTACAATTTGATCTTTTCAAAAGTCTGCAAGTTATTTCTAAGAACATTACTTAATAGAATTAAATATTTAACTAATATTTAATACAATGTTATTAAAGAAATTATTATTTCATTGAAATCAAAATTATCCATCAATGTTAGGTCTAAAATTTAAAACTATTTTTAAAATTAATTAAAGCAATATATTAGAACTACTATTATATATTTATTTGTAATTTATTTTCCTAATTTTGAGATAAAAAAATATTTACTAATTTTTTGTTTGTTATTTTAATTTTACGATATTAGAACTGATTTATTTATTTTTTTATCAAAATTATTTCATAAGTATTATACGTGTATAAGATAATTAATCTCTTTATTAATAAAGGTATTTAAAAGTAGTGTGTATTTAAAATTTTAATTTTGTTATAAACATCTTTGCTTATATAAAATTTATAATATAATATATTTATATTATTTTAAAATAATTTATGATTCGGGCTTTTCCCCTCTTTAATAGCAATTTTTTAATAATTTTTTTAAATTTTTTATTATTTTAATAATATTATTTTTGTAGTTATAGAATTAAGTTAAAATATTTTATTAAAATTTAATATTTTAATTTTATTATGTTATTATTATTATTATAATATATCTTTTAAAATAAAATACTAGTCCTATAGTAGTTAATATTTATGATAACTTTTATGTCGGTAACTATGTTTTATTCAAATAGTTAAATAAATAATACAGTTATTAATTAGGAAAAAGATGAATCATAATAAGATGCTGAACTTTTTTTAGTTGAAAAATATTTCCTCTTAGTATTTTTTATATGCTATTTAATAATATTTATTTTTAAAAAAATATTAATGATTGATTTTATTTTTAGATACATCTTTGTAGCTATTAAACTTTAGAGTGATTGACACAGTACATCAAAGTTAAATTTATATTTGAAAAATATTTTTAAACTTTAACCAACATGAGTGATAAAAAAATAATCAACTTTTAAGTAAAGTAATTTTGTGAATTACACACGTATATTTTTTTATAATATAAATAAATATTAACTATAAGATAACATATATACACACGTGTGTTTAATTTAGTTAGAGTTTGACATACATAATCATCCATATAAAATTACAAAATTTAATGCTTATATTTATTATAATTATATTCTAAAAATAATTACTAAGCAGAATAAGTGAATCCTCCCTTTTATATACACATACCTAAGTGAATTCTAAAAATCAATTCTCCATGCATCTGTTGGGCTTCTTCCATGTTATCATGTGTAGCATAAAAGCCCCGAGATCCATCATAACATGCATCTTTTGTAGGCTGTTTTAGTTTGGTCCATCAAAGAAAGCCCATTTCTCGCTCCTTTGATTTGACATCTTCCAAGGGTGGTTCTTTTTAGATCCACTCACAACACTTCAAAAGCTTTTGACTAGTTCCCAAAGAAGATGAAAACAAAGAAAAGAAAAGTCCAAATGAACTTAGACATGGGCAAGAACCAACATGACCCCAAAAAGATTAAACTTGTGGATAGAAGGTCGTTCATGTACATACATCACAAGTCACAACTCCTATTATCTTTTATACGTCCAATCTAAGACTTTTTTCTTTCACATTGTCATGCATTCACCCACACAAATGTGAACAATCCTAACGGGCCACAACCATATATGGTCTCAACTAGCCCGTATAGTCATTTCAAACGAGCTGGTGTTTCACATGCCACTGTTTTGGTACTATCAATTCTTTGTTTGTTCTATTGGGAATCTCCTAGTGATAGCATTAATGCTGCCCCGAAAAAGGTTAAGTCATGATACGGTTCATTGTCCATAAGGAACAAATTAAAAGCGGTGATCAAGGTACTTGTCTTCATAATGGATAACAAACTGTTTTATTTTTGGTCAACCAAAAATTGCTAGTAGCTCACTTGCTACATTCCATCATTATTCTCTCCTTTTATTTTCCCTAACTAACACTCATAAAATTAATCACACTTTTTTTTTTAGTCTAGACCATGAATATCTTTTATGGATCCTGTTCAAATTTGATAGAACTAATGTGAATAGGAAAATTTTTTTTGCAAATATTTAACGCAGTTGCATGTTTAAGGACTCCAACTTAAGAATATTAGTTAAATTGAAACAATCTCCGCTAATTGATGCAGTCAATAGTATTAATCAAACTCTTTGTTGATTGCATTGTGGCATTTCACTACGGCTTGACTATTTCCATTTTCAACAATTTGAAAAGGATTTAAATGTCAGTCCTAGTGTCTTGTCAACCAAGGCACCATCTATCTTAGTCATGTAGCTGGTTGGTTTTGGAATCAGATTTCAAATTTGCACTTAATCATGAACTCTCAGCTTGTGTATATGGTCCACTCTTGCAAAACTTAATTTGAGATAACATTACATTGTGATGGTAATGTGGTATCATTGTCCTCTAGTGAACATTAGGGTGGACTGACAACTAGGCGTGCCTGATTGGAGGAGGCACCCTTGGGATGAGAAGTACTGCTATTGTCTACCCAACATGTCATGAGACCATGTCTTTGTTGCTGACACTGTCTCCGATATTTAAGGATGTTTGGTTTGATCTGTCACATGAGGTTAGTAGAACTAGTCACGCTCTAGCTACTGACCACTCCCAAGTGCCAAAATCATGTTGCCTCATCAATTTATCTTTCGCTTCTAATGCAATTGGGAAATAGCCACACAGACAATCAAAAGTGCAGTCTTGAGCGGTGAAAATAAACTCAACAAACATTCTCAATGTAGTACAAATAGAAAACTTTCTCAATATGTTATACAATTGAAAGCCTTTCTAATTAAAAATATGCATCCTTCTAACAATTATTATTTCTCCAGGACGGATTAGCAGTGTGGATGTTAAATGGTTGTTGCCATTTTGTTGTAGAGAGGGATGCAATGCACACACAAGTCTGATTGAGTAATAGGAAACCATTTTATTATTTTGACAACTGAAAATTGATACCGTAAATAATTATTTTTATCTCTTAGTTACTTTTGATCAATTTTCTATACATGCATCCCAAAAATACATTTAAAAGTAAAGGAGACAACTAAAAAAGTTGTCCCCAAAATCTCTTCTCAAAAACATTATCGAATAGGAAAAGGATGAGTGAGTATAATCATTGAAGTATTTGGCAGTGACTTCAGAGAAAACACTTCAAAATTTTACTAGTATTGATTGTGAATCAAATAGTTTCTCTATATTAGAAGTTGAAAGTGTGCTTCAAAGACTGCCTTCCAGCAAAACATAATGAGTAGTACTTCAACAGTACTAAAGAGTACAAGACACACATACTCTTCAGACATAATTTAAAATTGTAGACTATATGGTGCTGCTGCTGCTGCAGTGTGTTCCTTCATGAAGCATACTGCATACACAGATCCTCAAATTTCTTTAAGAGAATGATTTTTCTCACACCAATAGTCCTCAACCCTTTACACACACAGTTGTGGTTTCATGGATTTTCTAAGGTCCACCTGCTCAAATCCATTATGGACATCACCATGTGAAGAGAACAAGTTTGTGTTTTTCACATCAGAAGCTATTATAATCTGAGTAAGGAGAAAAATGATGGGCCCTTGTGGTGAAGAAGAATAGTAATCATCCCATGTGTGCATTTTTAATGCTATTATCAGTGAATGTCTGCGATGAGAAGAGGTCAGAAACATGTAATAAAGCCATGATAAACAAGACAAATTGAAGCTGTTAAATGCAGTCCGGTTTGGATAAAACTGAATGTCTAACTGATTTTGGGTTGGTATGGTGAAGAATTTAGATGGGCCATTTAGTTCAAAATCTAACATAAATTTTGAGTCACTCAGCATGGGCACTCATATGGGCTGTTTCTACTTGCTATGTCCTGTTTGAGAAGGTGAACTAGGTCATATATCAACACTATCAAGCTTCTACACTGAGAATGAGAGAAGATTCTGTTTGTGGGGTCAAATATTTGAAGTATTTTGTGTTTACAGCGCATTCTTGTAAACATATTAAGACCTCATTTGAACATATCTCTCTCTCAGCAAAGACAAACATTTGTTAGTCGAGAACATTACATGTATGTGTCCATACTCCACACCGATGTTTTTTCATTTGTTATGTTTTGGTGTCGATGTTCCTTACTTATATGTTCTTTAATATGGATTCATGATAAATTTGTCTGAGGAAACTTTCTCCAGTTCAAATTGATTTATCCACATTTAAATACTTGACAAGGTCGCCAATTTGGTAATTGGAGTCCAGAAGGAAATGTGACAATTAAATAGCTACCTGGTAGATTGTTTAGAACATTTTCTAGATGATTATGTTGAACTCAATGAGATTGGCTTCATTTCAAGTTTCAAGGATAAGAAAGAACTCTGCTCCCTTTGACAAGGAAGATGTGTGAGTGCTAATCACTTAAAAAGCACAATGATTAGTATAGTGGTTCTTATCTGTTCCACTTTTGGTATTTAAATTTCTTGAAAACCGGTTGTACATGAACTTTCTTTGATTGATGCAATAGCATGTCCTGTAAGTAGATCCTAATAATGATAGAATACATATGCGCTTTTTATGGTTTTTTTCTTAATCCTCCGTGGAAGCAAGGGATTTTGTTTTATGTGCCATCAAATGCTTTGCAAAAGTACTAGACCCTTTGACAAATGCATGTTTCTGAAACGTTTTGATGATAATTGAGCAACGACTTAGACCAAGTTCAGTGAAGTTTCCAGGCAATAAATTTAAAGGACACAGGGTCTTCAATGTCAAATTAAAGCAATCCTTCATATCACATTAAGCTCAAATTTGGTTGTGAAAAATAAAAACAATATATATATATACACAATATTTTTAACTTAAAATTAAAAAAAATAAAGAAAATCTCTTACCAGACATCCTCTAAGTATAAATTAAAGAATTAATAAAAAAAATTAAAAATCACATTTAAAATATATTTAAAATTATTTAAAAAATATTAATAAATCTTTAATAAAAAATTTATTTTTATTTCCTTAATTAACTTTTTATCATTTTTCTAGCATTATTCGTACAACAGTGAAGAAAAGTGTTCCTAAACCAAGTAATTGAGAATCGGGTTAGGGTAATTGATTACCAAGTCCCTGTAACTTAACTATACCCATTTTTCTAATTTCTAAAGTGGATTATAAATACTATTTTCATTCTTATTTACTTATTCAAAGAAAGATAAAAGTTACACAAGTTAAGAATTTTAATTATTTTATTAAAATTACTTAATGAATTTCTTAACTTATCCTTTATTAATAGATTTGTTACATTTTCAGATCACTCAATTAGTATAGTTATAAATACTTTTTTATTATAACTTAAATTTTTATATGAAGAAAAAATATTAATAAAAACAACAATAAATAATATTTTTAATTTCTACGTATACATACAAATAAAAACATATTTTTCTTCTATGACTTCGGACTCTGAATGCACTCAACATTGTCAACAACTTCTTGGCAATCATTGATCGGTTTATTAATCTCTTCAATCATTCTTGCTTTGTTTTTCAAGCCTTGTTGAGATATCACAGAGCTTGTGAGATTAAACAATATTTTCTTTTTGTAAGTGCTGTAAGAGTATGAAGTATCTTCAAGATAGTTAAAAGTAACACATACTTTATAAGAGAGTCCAAGCACTAAAGTGTCATATTCTAAGAGTCTGAAGAGAGCCTTAAGTTATTGAGGTATCAAGCATTCGTTGAAGCTTAGAGTTTCAATGAACAAATCCCAGAGTTTACTTTTTCTTTCAATCTTAATTTAACTGAATTTATCATTCTTGGTAATTAATTGGAAAACTTGTGTGAGCAGAGTTCATCATTATCAACCTACTCAAGTGTTAGCTAGTGTTTGGATTGGCCTAGCTTATATGAAATTTCTTAGTCGGGCTTATTAAATTAGAGAATGTTTAATTGTTTATCTGATTAATTGCTACAAATTGTGTTAATTGTTGAGTTCGAATATCTGAGGGGTATATGACACTGATTGATTGAGTAAACGCAAAGCACTTTCAAAGTTTGAAGCTTTTACGGATTATATAGTCTTAAACTTATTAACTACTTGCATCTAAGTCATGTATCCTATAACTTTTAGGCCTTCTGTAAATTACTTAGGGGGTGTAATCATGCAGTGTATTTGGCCTATTTTTATGTTCATACCTCTCTCAAATATTGACTGTTTGTATCAGACTTTGATTTTAGTCCTTGATAGACATTTTTTTCATAAAAAACGGGTAAAATGCAGTTAGTTTAGTGCAAACACAGATTCTACCTGACCTAGTGCCAATGGTCAGAGTTTTAGGCCTTGAAATCAAGACCCAAATTTTTTATTTGGTTTTTCACAATTTTGGTCATAGTTTTATCACGTGATTTTAGAACCGAACCCAATTTCTTCCATAAAATTTTAAATCCGATAATGAAACTTAGGATTAATTATATTATATATAATTGATAATAAAAAAACAACTCACTCTTCACATAATAATTAGGTCCCAAGTTATGTGAACTGTATTGTAGTTAGGAATTATGCTTTACAGAAATGATTTGATTGCAATATACATTTAAGGGCTTTGTTGGTCCAATTAAGCTTTGAGCATGTGCATGGAGTGCAATAGTTGTTTGAATGACCTTATAGTTCTATATGTGGGTCAAACCCAATATAGCAATATAACTGTTATTTAAAAAGAATATTGTTATGTGGTCATCTTGGAATTGGCTTTAATTCATAAGGGAGAGGGAGAGATGTGATGAGGGCGATGGAGTTGAGTCCTACAAGTTGTCACAACATTGAAGCTGTGGGCCATTATAGGACACAACCTCTACTATTATGAGAAAAGACAACGTGAGTTAGAACATTTTATTTTCCTATGTGTTATATATGAACTGGATAATGATACATCACATTAAGATCCATCATAAGATACTCAACCCGGGGAGAGCAATTTTTGCATCAAATTTGTTGGGTAGCTGCTTTAAATCTCCACCAACAAGTTGAGAAAGTCTGTCATGAAAATTCTTCACTTAATTAGTCTCTATCTTATTGGAGAAAGTCTAATCGATGGAAGCAAAGAGGAAAGAAGGAAAAGGACTCAAAAATCTAAGATGAAGCCTAAAATGGAAACCTTCCTTTAGAGACCTTTATTGCTTTTCACTTCATCAAGTTTTGGGATTTCCATATCTAACCAAAAAATGTTGGCTGCAACCAAATATGGGCTCACCCAACCAACCTTTTATATTCGTCCTTGTGGACAATGTTTGTGAATGAAAGAATAGAACTTTCACCACTAATCACCGACATTTATAAGCCTATTTCCTAAAAGAAGGGGAAAAAAAAGACTATAAATCGAAAAAAAAAAGGGGGGTAAAGACAAGATAGAGAATTAAAGTGAAACTTAAACTGTATCATTTAACTTGATCAATGAATTGAAGTATGGTACATGTATAAGCTGTATGAATATAGGAAAAGAAATTGGTAAAAAGTAAAAAGCCTCATCATCCTTGGTGTTCAAAAGAAAGGCCCAAAAACACTAAGGTTAAAAACTTGGGCCTTGGGAGAGGGCTCTGTCTCTGTGCTTTTCTGTTATTTGTGTGTATATTCTTTTCTCTATATCTTTACAAAGATATTGTTATTTTGTTTATACACCAACAAATTTCTAGCTAAAAGAAACAGCACCGCTTGTATAGTTGTGTTATTGGCATTCAGAACTGGGAAATGCAACGTCTATGACAAGCATTGGTCCGTTGTTTCTTTTGCTTAGTCTCTTGTTTCCAGACTTGGCCAATATCTTGAGCAATTTTCATAGCATCAGATGAGGCACCAGAGAGCCCTCTCCTTGTGAACCCAACAGCATAAATCCCAGCATTTCCTTTCCAAGCATTAGGGAATGGTGACTTTGGAAATCCATTCTTGGAGAAAAATTCCCCTTCCTGCTCACAACGTAACCAAAATAACATTAGTTCTCTCCCCTATACCACAAGAAAAAAAATGCTAGTTACTATTGAAAAAGTCAATTATTTGAACAACTAAAAGTGAATACCATATAACATTAGTTATTTTTATTTCTCATTTATTTTTTATCCTCTTATATATCGGCATCCTAAAATGAGCTTTAAAGTAAAAGGGACAACTAAAATTATCATTTTTCAAAAAGATTATTGAACAAAGAAGCTTCTAAACTAAAACTTCCAAAAAAAGTATCTATATATGGGTGTTAGTTAAAAGGACAAAATCAATCTGCACCCAAAAAAGTTGTAATTATAATCATAAAAAAAATCCTGTAGATTGAAAAACTGTTGACACTAGACATGATTTGAAGGAAAATGTTCAAATAAGAGGATGGCATGAAGCAAAAAGCAGAATAGGAACAATTTTTCACCTGAAGCCAAGAAGGGACATTGCTGCGGTACCCAGTTGCAAGCACTACTGCCTCAACGTCTTGCTTTTGACCATTAACCAGCTCAACGCAGCAATTGGTGAACCTCTTAATTCCCGGCACCACTTTTATGTCACCGGATCTAATTTTCTCCAAGGCACCAATGTCCAAAACAGGGGTCTTACCCTTTGAGTTCTTCAACTCCAATGGACCCTCTAATGGCCTTTTGAGCCCAGACTTCTCAATGTTACCCAACACTATCCATGCCAACACCAATAGGATCTTGTCAACCACCCAAAGTGGCAACCATTGCATCATCAAAACAGCCAATTCAAATGTTGACTTCCCATAAATCTCTCTAGGCAACACATGAACCTGTCCAAACAAAAACAGAACAACCCCATTTAAACATCACCCTCAAAATTATAAACACTAATCAGTACCTTAAGAAATTAAATTTTTTTTTTTTATTAAGACTTACCGAGCTACGAACAACCATAGAGGGTAATGCACTGTGGTTACACAAATCAAGTGAGAGTTCCATGCCAGAATTGCCACAACCAACAACAAGAACTTTCTTTCCCTTGAATCTTTCCCCAGACTTGTAATCACAAGCATGAATGACATCACCTTTGAATTCACCCAATCCTTCAATATCAGGCATCACACACTCAGCATTCTCACCAGTGGCCACAACGAGCCACCTACAAATGTACTCAAACTCGTTTCTAGTGGACCCATTTGAAGAAACGGTCTTAACCCTCCACAATCCACTGGTTTCATCGTACCTTGCACACTGAACACACTCATTGAATCGTGGGTTGATCTCGAAGTGTCTTGCATAGGATTCGAGGTAGTCTATGAACTGTTTCTTTGTTGGGTATTCAGGGAAGTCTTCTGGAAATGGAAGCTTTGGTAGTTGGCAAAACTGTTTAGGAAGGTGAAGCTTTAACCTGTCATAGGTGCGTTTTTGCCATAGAGAGGCTATGCAATTTGCTCTTTCTAGAACCATGAAGGGTACCCCTTGTTCTCTAAGGCATGCTGCTGTGGCTAGCCCTGATGGACCTGCCCCTACGATCACAGGACCGTTGACCCAAATGCAACGCTTTGAGAACAAGTCCTCATGGTCAACCAGGCCTAACAAGTTCTCCATTTTGATTCACCCCTTAGAGTTTCTTTTGTTTATGGGTTTTGGCCTTTTGGGTTTGCTCAATATGTGAGAAAGATAGTGTTTTTGGTTCTTCGGAAATGAAGCGGTTTTGGTAGTTGAGAGGGAGAGGGAGAGAGAGAGAGAGATTTGAGGTTGAGAGGAACCAACTGTGTTAGAGGTTTGAGAATGTGAGTTTGGATTGAAAGGAGAGGGAGTTGAAGGAGCTTAAATAGGGGAATTGGCATGAGAAGTGCTTGTGACGGAAGTGGTGAGTTAATGCGTTTTCTCCCTTTGTTTTCATATCACTTTTTATTATTATTTTTTTGGTTAAGTGAATATTTTATAACATTATGTGTTGTGTCATTAATTTATTATTATATTGGATATTGAGTTAGGATTAGCATATTATTTGGTGAGGATTTATTCTTTCCTTGGAAAGTTTTCTTTCATCATCGCCGTTACAATCAAATCAACAATGGGTTTTTTATTTTCCTTCTCTCCTTTTTGATATAGAAATAAATATGAATTTTTGCAGCGCAAAAAATGATTAGTTAGGTAGCAATTGCGACGTAGATAGAGGAGTATGGGATTTTCATGCACTCAGTATCCCACCATGACATCTGTACAAACCAGTAATGGTCGATAAGGATCTGCTTCCTGAGAATTGACCAATTGGGCCAAACAGGGGTCAGTGTTTAAAGCATCAAAAGAAAAAGACCCAATTAGCAAATTACAAGGACAACAACCTCCAAATGTAATGCTATCCTCTAGGTAAGATGTATTCTGAGATTCTTTTGGTAAGAAATACATACAATATTCAACATGCTAATAGTGGTGAGCACTTAATCAAAAATCGATTCAAATTAATCTCATAAAACAAATTAAAATAGAGGGCCAGGTATATGGCTTTGCATGTAGGCGATTTAAAAAATGATTAAAGATAAATTTGAATTGGGAAGTGAGAGTTCGGCTAATTTTGATGTATAATATGACATAAATATTTATTGAGTCTCTTGGATTTTTATATTTTTGCTAAATAGTGGGCCTTAGTATTTTAAGTTAAGCATATTATCTCCCAATCTCCTCACAACCCTAGTTTTTGTCTCTCTTATTTCTCTTACGTTCTTTCTGTTCTCCAAAGCATCTATTGTTAACTATAATCATCTCTCTTTTTTTCTTTTTTTTGGTCTTAATCATTATGCGTGACTGGTAATTGCCTTAATTCATAAACATATTCTTTGATTTTTGTGAAAGTGAAAAGGCATGGAGAGTTCAATTATTTCTTCGACAATGGTTTGCATGGTGGTTGTGAACTATGGGTGATGACGGCTAATGGTGTAGTTTTGGAGAATGTATATGTCTCTCTTTTTATTATGGTTTGCATGGTATGGTAATTGTGAACAATGGGTGGTGAATATTAATGGTACAAATCTGGTAGATTTATGGCGACTGTAAAGCCTAACCTATTTTTACCCACTCACAAACCTATGGACTCGTAGTATCACTTGATTTACGTAAGTTTTCAAATCTAGATGAAAGCGGGTAAGAATACTCATACAATCAACTGTTTTTGGATTGAATGATTTTAGTCTAAAATCGACAAAATCTGATCGATGCTCTGTCTCACATGCAAAATCTTGAAGTGTAAAGTATATAATTATGAAACGACATAAAATAAATAAAATACATGCATACACACGTAGACATATAGTGTGTAACAAAAGAAAAAAACATGATCAACACAAAAGACCCAATAAAAAGCCTCATAAGCAAAATAACTAAATAAACAAGCAATCACTGTGATGAGTCGTTAGCATCTAAGGTTCACATAATAGTGAAAGTGAAATAAATTTTAAAAAATGAAAAAAGAAAAACCTTCCACTTATTCATAATTTGATATTATATGATAGAAAAGAAATTGACATAAATGATTTTATTTTATTTTTATCGTTAATAACATGATATGATTCTATCATAAAGAAGGTATATTTTTATTAAAGAACAACTATTGTCGTTTATTTTTGTTTTTATTCAAGGATGTGAAAGATTCAACTTGCTCTGAGAGACTAATGAGACATAAGTAATAGAACCAAAATAATTAGATAAGTGAGTTGTAGATTGTTTTGACCCACAGGCCCATTCTGCCAACCCAATTCAGGGTGCCATGTGTCGGTCCCACATTGGCCAACTACATTTGTTCACTAACTTCCATACTTGCTTTCTACCTTCCAACCAATTAGAAAAACAAAAATCTCCCCCAACCTCCTTTTAGAAACCCTGACCTAAATTCTACACACATAACACAAAACCTTACATTTATCTATCATCACCAATTACCAATAATGTTATAAAGAGCCTAAAAAGGCTCGCTGAATCGACATTACAATAAAATTAGATATTGCTTGAACATGATCAAGTAAGAAGAAAAAAAAGTCTACACGTAGCCAGGCTAGATATATATAGTCCTTTTAGTTTGGACCATTAATTAGCTTTCACAACCATGGTTAAGCTTAAGTTGTCCTCCAGGAAAGTTGCACGATGGTTTCACCTTCTTGTTCTTTGATTGGAAGGGCCTGTGAAACGATCTGTAAGTTAATGAGATTGGTTTATTTCATTGGTACGTGTGGAGGGTGAGAAAACATTGAAGCATATCACTTTCGGTGTGTTGTACATTATATAATTTAAATTCAACATGTGCATGATAATGATCAAAAGGATACCAAATTAATTAGGTACGTCTTAATTAATAGTATTCTTTGATGAATCGATAATATTATTTTTCTAGGCGTTAATTCCCTAGTCGCACCAATAGCTAGGCTATGTACATGCACTGCTACTTTAATTTGTGACTGCATATGAATTCTTGGTTTGAAAAATCACGGTGCACCCCACTTCCCCCACTTTTAGAAGTGGTTAAAATTTCATGGAAGGAGAGAGAAGCATGTGCATGAGGCCTCGAACTTCATATGAGTCTCTCCTTTTCATGAAAAGATTGTAAGCTACGAGTTTGGCGCTTCTCTACAGGTTGTATATATTATTAAATTTGATTTGGAATAGATGAATGAATGATAGTACGTATAGCTAGCCATTATCAATATTGCTCAGTAGTATAGTGTATCATTTTAAATGCTCCAAAAAACAACCTTCCAAATATCTACATACCAAAGATATATGAGAGAGGAATGCATTTAGATATATGTTCCTTTTAGCTAGTCGTGTCCCATATTCATGATATGATAGGATGCATATGATTGATTTCTTATCTTTAAGCTTTCCTTACCAGCCTTGCACTGCTCCACAGCCAGCTTGAGAATCACCACAATATTGCACTTAAGACCTTTTCTGCTTTTTGGATGTGAATTCAAAATACCAAATACTACTTTTTCCTCCTAGTTATTGATTCTTTTCTTTAATTTAATGTCTGCGGCAATTAGTAAATATGATCCTCCTTAATTAGAGCTTCCGTCCTAATCATATAAATTGCTAATTATGCTTTGTGTTGCCACTGTGCGTGATGATGGTTTGCTAGATATATTTACAGTTTTTTTAACCTATGTGTAAGGTTGTATGATAAAAAATATAATATTTGATATTATCAATACATTAAATTTTATAATATTCTATACTTTATTATAAAAATACACTGTATATAAATTTTTATTATGTATACGTAAATTAGCATTCAAAAATTTAACAAACAAGTATAATTAACTAAAGAGAAACTTGTTTTTGGAACATACATGTGCGTTAGAATTAACTGATGGAGTATAAATTATAAATAATGTTACACTAATTCAGCATAACTGCTGAGTCATTTGAAAGTTTATATCATAAATATAATGTCTTTAAAAGTTCATATTAACTCAACTGCTCAAGATCTTTATCAAGATTTCTGAACTTAATGCATAATAATTTTCAGAGAAATAAAATTACACTAGGTTACCAACCTTTCAAAGAAAATTTGTAAAATAATGTTTTTCACACTTCAACTGATCCAGTGTGTCAAATCTTACAGTAAATTTAATTAATTAATACTATCTCTGTTAAAAATGTCTTGCCTTAATTAAAAATATATTTAAAATATTTATTCATAAAATTTTGATAATTATTTCCTTTTTTTTAAACTAAATTTTAATAATAAGTTAAGTCTTATTTTTAACATAATATGAAACTGTATCTAATTTTAATAGTTGACTAAAACTACATATTATATATAACTTTATTCAGCTTTAATATGGGGCACTGCCTATAAAACATTAAACTATAGTTGCATTTAACGTTGTACAATAATGAGTTTCAATCACGCGAAACTAAATAAAAGTTACGAGAAAGGCGAAATCATAGGGATAAAATACACATGCATGGCTAGCTTCTCTGAAGCTTAAACTCTGTTTTTTTTTTTTTTAAAGTCAAACTTTGTACTCAACTTAATGGCATTTTGGCAATGTCACTTTAATTAACATAAAATTAAGTATTAATGAAGTAATAAATTATAATTAGTTAAATATAAATTAAATAAATAATTTATATTAATATATATATATATATATATATATATATATATATTTCTAATTCCAAGGTTATCAAGTTTTTAGTTGACAGAGAAATAAAACTTTCATTGAAATGAAGTCGGTAATCTGATACACGTCAATCAATTTTTTCAGAAAACTATTCCTTTCGACAACGGTAGTCTCTATCTTATATATGCCATCAGTCTTTAGCACCAAACGCATCAAACCTTAGAATAAACTTGCTCGATATTATTATTGACCACGTCAATTAATTAGTACGAGAGCATTTTTATTTGTAATTTTAAAATTAATTTTAATAAATATCATTGTCATTAATATTTAAAATGAGAGTTATTGTTTATAATATTTTATCTCAATTAAACATAATTATCTTTAAAAAATATATCTATAGTTTTTAGAAAGAAAAACAAACTCAATATTTGTTTTACTTTTAGCTATCTATTTGTTTGCATTAACTTTTGTTTTAGCAAAACATTTTAATTAATGCGAGTTTTTACTTTTCTTTAAGTAGTTTATAGTACTTTTTGTTGAAAAACATTTTATCCTCATTTCCAGCATTAATTTATTCAAATAATCCAATTATCAAATAGAACTACCTAATATATAAACGAAATTAATGCGACGTTATTTGACTGCAAGTTATACGTATACTCCATTAATACATGTTAG